TATTACGTAAGTAGAGCCGCTAGTGTTTAGTGCATCTTTTGGTTGTACTCAAGTGTAGTAGACCTTATTCAGCCATTACTTGGTGCTCTGGTAGCTAAATTCGCATGGATAATATTTGCCTGGTAAATGCGATTAATTATCTAGAAGCAGCATTTGCAATACTCGGCTTGAGGAAAAGCATTTATTGCTTAGAATTGTTTGGTTAAAAAGTGACTCCTACTCGTCCAGGGATACCCCAAAACCCTATAATCCAAACTTCACCAGAGATTCTCCTGAAAAGCTTGCGCTTTTGGATGTTTTTATGTATTTGTGAACTGGCCTTCACTAAGTAGTTTTCTAGGATTCTTGTGCATTTGTTAAGCCTGATTGTGCAAGTTGCGTTTTTCAAGCATAGTATATATGTGGTCTTTATTGAATACTTCAGACATGTTTGTTTCATCGTTATGTAAGTAGAACCGCTTCTATTTCCATTATTGTGCATTTTTAAGCTTGCTTATGCAAATTGTGCTTTTCAGACATAGTATATAAGTGGTCTTTATTGAATACTTCAGCAATTTTTGTCTCATTGTTATGCAGGTAGAACCGCTTCCATTTCCGTTAGTGTTTATTTCGTATTGGGTTGAGTATGGTCCTTTAAATAGTATTCACTTGGGTCAAATTGGGCTATTTGCTTAAGAATTCCTCTAGTAGTTAAATTCGCATAGAATGAATACTTCAAAAAAAGGATTGTTTCATGAATATGTAAACATAAGGTGTTTCATTTGACTTTGCAGATAGTATTTCAATAATACTTTGCCTGGTATAAACACAACTGTTTCAATGCATGAGTTGCTCAACAAAGCACTATTTGCCCTTTAAACCACACTTTGCCATAATTTTTTTGTTGAATATGGTGCTTCTTTCGTATTTTGGTTGAGTATGGTCCTTTAAATGGTATTCACTTGAGTCAAATTGGGCTATTTGCTTAATAATTGCTCGAGTAGCTAAATTCGCATAAAATGATTATTTCAAAAATAAAAACGATTCATGAATATGTAAACATAAGGTATTTCAGTGGACTTTTCAGAGAGCATACTTTGCCTAGTACAAACACAATTGTATAAATACAGTAGTTGCTCAACAAAGCATTATTTGCACTTTAAACGCACACTTTGCCATATTTTGGCTGAGAATGGTGTCTATTTCGTATCTTGGTTGAGTATGCTCCTTTAAATAGTATTCACTTGAGTCAACTTGGGCTCTTTGCTTAACAATTTCTCCAGTAGTTAAATTCGCATAGAACCAAGAAAAATGTTTCACTATTTGATTAATACTTTGCCTCGTACAAACACACTTGTATAAATAAATTAGTTGCTCAACAAAACATTAATTGCCCTTTAAACGCACAATTTGCATAGAAAGCCACAAATCTAAACATCTAAAGACAGCATTGTCCGCTTCAGATTCAAAATGTAGATTCTTCCAATGCTGGCTTATCGGGGTCTGTGAGGTGGGTGTCCCAGTAACTGTCCTTCAATACCCGGTGATTAACTACGCGACTTTTGGGCCTTCTTTGTTATATTTTGTTAAAAAGGCCTAAAAAGGCCGAAAAAGGGTAGGTCGCTGGGGGGGGGGGGGTAGCATATATATATATATAATTCGATTCCGTGCTCGTATTGTGAGGGGCTAGTGATCGCCCCTGAGATTTGGTAGGGGCCTAGAGCTTTGTCGTATGTCCCCTCCTTTCGCCCCTTCGTGTTGTAGGGGTTTTGTTGGGCCTTGAAGGCTTGTCGTGTGTCCCCTTTCTTCGAGCTTGGAGAATTGAGGAGTGTCGAGATGATTACCATACATCATTTGCTTCCGTGCTCGTACTATGTGGGGTTAGTGACTGCCCTAGAGGTTTGTCTTTTGTCCCCTTCCTTCGTCCCTTCGCGTTGTATGGGTGGTAAGGGTTTTGTGAGGGCCCTGGAGGCTAGTCGTATATCCACTTTCTTCGAGCTTGTAGGGTTTGGGGGGAGCGTCTAGAGTCTAGATGATCGTCATATATGATTTGCTTCCGTGCTCAAACTATGAGGGGCTAGTGGCTGTCCTAGAGGTTTGTCATTTGTCCCCCCCGTTTCCTTGGTCCTGTGATTTGGTAGGGGCTTAGAGGTTTGTCATACGTTCCCTCGCTTCGTCCTTTCGTGTTGCAAGGGTTTTGTGAGAGCCCTGCAAATTTGCCGTGTGTCCCCTTTCTTCTCACTTGTAGGGTTTGGGGAGCGTCTAGACGACTGACATATAATTTGATTCCGTGCTCGTATTGTGAGGGGCTAGTGATTGCCCATGATTGCCCTAGAGGTTTGTCGTATGTCCCCCCGATTCCTGTTCCTGAGATTTGGTAGGGGCTTAGAGCTTTGTCGTATGTCCCCTCCTTTCGCCCCTTCGTGTTGTAGGGGTTTTGTTGGGCCTTGAAGGTTTGTCGTGTGTCCCCTTTCTTCGTGCTTGGAGAGTTTGAGGAGCGTCGAGATGATTACCATACATCATTTGCTTCCGTGCTCGTACTATGTGGGGTTACTGACTGCCCTAGAGGTTTGTCGTATGTCCCCTTCCTTCGTCCCTTCGCGTTGTATGGGTGGTAAGGGTTTTGTGAGGGCCCTGGAGGCTAGTCGTATATCCACTTTCTTCGAGCTTGTAGGGTTTGGGGGAGCGTCTAGAGTCTAGATGATCGTCATATATGATTTGCTTCCGTGCTCAAACTATGAGGGGCTAGTGGCTGTCCTAGAGGTTTGTCATTTGTCCCCCCCGTTTCCTTGGTCCTGTGATTTGGTAGGGGCTTAGAGGTTTGTCATACGTTCCCTCGCTTCGTCCTTTCGTGTTGCAAGGGTTTTGTGAGAGCCCTGCAAAATTGCCGTGTGTCCCCTTTCTTCTCACTTGTAGGGTTTGGGGAGCGTCTAGACGACTGACATATAATTTGATTCCGTGCTCGTATTGTGAGGGGCTAGTGACTGCCCTAGGGGTTTGTCGTATGCCCCCTCCCCCGCTTCCTTGTTCCTGTGATGTAGTAGGGGCCTACAGGTTTGTCGTATGTCCCCTGCCTTCGTCCCTTCGTGTTGTAAGGCTGATAAAATTTTTCTGAGGGCCCTTGGAGATTTGTCGTATGTCCCCACGCTTAGTGTTCCTGAGATTTGGTAGGGGCCAGAGATTTGTCGAATGTCCCCTCCTTTCGTCCCTTCGTGTTGAAATTGCTTTGTTGGGGGAAGGTTTGTCGTATGTCACCTTTCTTTCTTCTTAGAGGGTTTGGGGATCTTCTAGAAAACTGTCATATATCATTTGCTTCCGTGCTCGTATTATGAGGGGCTGGTGTTTGTCATAAAGGTTTGTCGTATGTCCCGCCGCTTTCTGTTCCTGCGATGTGGTAGGGGCCTAAAGAGGTTTGTCGTGTGCCCCCTCCCTTCGTCCCTTTGAGTTGCAAGGGTTTTGTTGGACCTGGAAGATTTATCGTATGTCTCCTTTCTTCGTGCTTGTAGGGCGTGGGGAGCGTCTAGATGATTATCATATATGATTTGCTTCCGTGCTCGTATTATGAGGGGCTAGTGACTGCCCTAGAGGTTTGTTTTATGTCTCCCTGCTTCGTGTTCATGTGATTTGCTAGGGTCCTGGAGATTTGTCGTATGTCATTTTACCATATACGAAATTAGATACAATCCCTTCGTCCCTTCGTGTTGTAAGGGTTTCGTGAGGGTCCTAGAGGTTTGTCGTATGTGCCCTTCCTTCGTCCCTTCTTGTTGTAAGGGTTTTGTGAGGGCCCTGCAAATTTGCCGTATGTCCCTTTCTTCGTGCTTGTAGGATTTGGGCAGCGTCTAGATGATTGTCATTATCATTTGCTTCCGTGCTCGTACTATGAGGCGCTAGTAACTGCCCTAGACCTTCAGGGCCCTCACAAAACCCTTACAACACGAAGGGACGAAGGGAGACGACATACGACAAACCTCTATCATCTAGATGCTCCCCAAACCCTACAAGCAAGAAGAAAGGGGACATACGACAAACCTCCAGGGCCCTCACAGAACCCTTACAATAGGAAGGAATGAAGGGAGGCGACACACTACGAACCTTTAGGCCCCTACCAAATCACAGGATCACGAAGCGGGGGCGTCATCTGACAAACCTCCAGGCCAATCACTAGCCCCTCATAATACGAGCACGGAAGCACATGATATGTGATTATCATCTACACACTCCCCAGACCCTACAAGCACGAACAAAGGGGACATACGACAAACCTCCAGGACCCTCCCAAAACCCTTACAACACGAAGGGACGAAGGGAGGGGACACACGACAAACCTTTAGCCCCCTACCAAATCACAGGAACACGAAGCGGGGGGACATACGACAAACCTCTAGGGCAGGCACTAGCCCTCATAATACGAGCACGGAAACACATCATATATGTTAATCATTTTGATGCTCCCCCAAAACCTATAAGAACGAGAAAGGGGAAGCACACAAACCTCCAAAGCCCTTACACAACCCTTACAACACGAAGGGACGAAGCGAGGGGACATACGACAAACCTCTGGCCCCTACCAAGTCACAGGAAACACGAAGCGAGGGTGCTTGCCTAAGTCTGGCTGTTGGCCGGCTGGATCTACATTTACTGCTACTACTACTACTACTACTCCTACTACTCCTACTACTACTACCACTACTACTTTCAAGAAGTTTTGTAAATAGTAAACAAAGGGGCGTGCCAAATAGACCCTAAAGGTCCATGCCACATAGTACAGTATCTCTGTGTCGAGTATTTGGTAATCACACGTTTTACTTTGCAGAGTGCAGCCCTCGTCCGAGCCCTCATTCCGCAGGGGACTGCACCTCTAGTAGTCTCTGCTGCCGCTAATTACCTTGCCTCAGGAGAGAGCAAAGTTCAGAAGCTAAATCCAGCACCACAACAAGCAGCATGCCTCCCTGATGAGGTGACAGCTTCAACCCGTGACCCCTGCAGCCCTAAACCTGCAGCCCTTGAACTTTGCCACGTGAATGCGTCGCCTTGCGAGCCATCCGTCGCCAAGAGTCGCAGCACTGCTCAACATGCCGATGAGCTTCAAGCACGAGCATGTGGGCATCAACAAGCGTACGTGCACGATCACCCGCGGAGGCCAGCCGGCTGTTGAGTACCCCAACCCCTGCAACTGCAAGTAGGACAAGCGCCCGGAACAACTAGACAGTTTCAGTTCCGACATCTTGCAAACTACTTTGCGAAAGCAGGAGGCGGTTTTTTGTTGTCTGTGCTTGACGTTGCCGAGTCCTTGCTCGGTATGCTTGCAGGAACTCGCGGCACGAGCAATTTCAGTTTCGCTGTTCTCGGGAAGATCGCGTTTGGTATTACCAAAAGGGTGACACGACAGAGCAAAGAAGAAACCCAACGGCGTCTGCCTGCGACGTGATGCGTGCAGACAAGATGTATCGACCGGTCAAACCATGCTCCTCCCCTCGACATGGCATGTTGTTTTTATAAACGTGCTTTTCTGTTCGACATAAACTTTTCCATTCTGTTTTTGTGTCATACCTTGAGGGCCAGGTATCCAATAAGTCGCAGACTTGCCATGTAGCAAAGCAGACCTCGCGCAAGAGACAGAGGAGCGTTTGGGCAAGGCTCTTCTCCAGAGACTGGTGCACTGCAGCGTTGGCTCAGAGCTTGCTGATTCTGCACCCGCTGCGCAGGTGTCTTTCACAAGGGTGTCGCAGATCCAGCACGCTCGCAATGCCCGCTTGAGGGGGGATCCTGTAGGACTGTAGGGTTTAGATTTGGTTGAGATTTTCGGGCTTGTGGGGTTTTAGCGTTTAGGCCTGCGGGGCTGAGGCTAAGGCTCTAAGGGTTCAGGTCTAGGGCTTTAGGATGCTTTAGGGTTAACGGCTTTCGGGCTTCAGGGTTAAGGGCTTTAAGGTTTTAGGGTTCAGGGAACTAGGTTTAAGGGTTAAGGGGTTTGGGTTTGGGTCTGTCAGTTTTGGGAGTGGGGGGTTGGTCACAGAATTGAGTGCCGGGTACTTACCACTTGAAGTACAAAGTCCTGTTTGCCACGGTTGTATACTTCAGCAGGATTTCGGCTTAAACAGCAAAGCTGAACCCTCGATGGTTGTGGGAGTTGATCGTCCAGCTACACCCTAAATGGCCCAGATCCCAAAAGCCCTAACGCCAAACCTTGAACCCTAAACCCTGATCGAAACCCTAAAGCCGCCTAAAGCCCTAAAGCCTGAGACCCAAACCCTAAACTCTCAACACTGAGATCTCAAAATTCCCCCAAAACGAAAGTAAACCCCAACCACAATTTAAAAGTGCGGTCTCCCCGAAGCCTTATATCCCAACGTTGCGAATAGCCCTCAACATCCCTCAGCCCTGAGCCCTAAGCCCTGACATTGGTGTTGCATGTGCTGCGGCTGGCAGCGACTGGCCAAGTTTAGTGTTTCACATCGAACACTTGTGCTCCCCAGCGGGAGCTCCGAATGCTGACAGCTGCTGGGCCCCGCGCGCACATCCTGTCCCTCTCCTGTCTGAATGGATCCTGCAGAGCGTCGGCAAAGCCTGACTCTCCAAATCGTGCATGGAACCGGCGCCGGACACTGCCGGTGGTGTTGGCACCCGCATTGGTGAGGACAGCACGTGTGTCACGACGAGCCATCCAGGGAGATGCCGCCAATCGGGCGCGCCGCCTGCAGGGCGCAGACTTAAAAGCGGAGTTGCAGCGCCGCAGGGGCCTGGTGTCTCAGCTGCGTGCCTCGGCCCTCCAGGACGATGCAGCCGAGGCGTTTGACGATCTCGGTGTTGCACTGTTAGCCACGGGTGAGAAAGCGCAAGCTGTAGAGGCGGAGGCGGCTTTTCGACAGTCGCTGGAAATTTGCCGACGCAGGGCCCTGGATGCTGACTCGCTTTGGGCGGCCAACAATCTGGCTGTGGCTCTCAAAGCGCAAGGTGAATCGAGATACGGCGAGGCGCTGGAGTTATACCAGGAGATCTTGCAGGCAAGGCTTCGGAATGATCCACGCGAAGAGGATCCGAGCACCCTCACCAGCATGAACAACCTGGGAGTGTTGCTGAAGAAGCAAGGCAAAGTCGTCGAAGCGGAGCAGTTCTACCGCCGGGCGCTTGCGAGGCGCCGGGCAGTGCTCGGCAACTTAGATCCTGACACCTTGACGAGCATCAACAACTTGGCAGTTCTTCTCTCCACTACAAAAACCCAAGAAGCTGAGGAGCTTTTTGCAGAGGCTTTGGCGGGCTGTCGTGCAGTGCTTGGTGCGACGGACATGGATACTTTATTGAGTGCTGACAACCTCGCTGCTTTGTTGTATCAGAAAGGCCGTCCCAGTGAAGCGGAGCCTCTCTTTCGTGAGGCTGCGCTGGGCTTCGCCACTCTCCTAGGCTCTCGAGATCCTGAGACCTTGCGCAGCCAGGACAACTTGGCTGTGACGCTCTTGGAGTTGGGACGACTGGACGAGGCCGAGGTGCTGCTTCGGTCAACAGTGGAAGGTTTCATAGCCATCCGTGGGGCAGATCACCCGGACACTGCAGTGGCACAGGAGAACCTTCGAGCTGTACTGGAGGCGAAAGAGGCGCGCAACCGCGAGGGCATGAGTACTGTGTGAGGATGCCTGACGTTTCTGGTAAAGACCGAATCACAGAAAGCAGTATGGCAGTATGGACCAGTATGGATATCAGCTTGTGCAAGGTGCGTGAAAGGAAGCGTGCAAGCCTGCAAGTGCATGTGCATGACAATACTCGGCACGGGTTTAGCTGCTCTGCATTGTGAAAGTTGCCCTTTAGGCCTGGATAACTTTGGAGCAAATGTGTGCAATACTAAAGGATGGCCTAAGTAGCAAACTGACCTCAATGTGCACTGAGGGAAACATATAGACCGGCATAGAAACCATGTTGGATGCCAAGTTAAGATTTTTGGATCAACAACGAACATTGTGCATATATCATCAAGAATCTGCACAACTTTCGCAACTAGGCCAATGCGCTGTGTTATTGCCAGGCGAGTTGGAGAAGGTCGTCCGCAACGAGCTTCGAAGGAAACCGCCTGTCGCGAGAGAGAACAAGGAGAGGTGCGCTGGTTTGGTATTGTGACAGGTGACAAGCTTATTACATGGCCAGTGCAATTCCTGTGTACCGGAAGTACGCCCCTGACACTGTCATGTACTTGCACCGCGAACTGCGCAGACCAAGTTTCGAAGCGTGGGGCGGGGGGAGTTCAACCCCCTGAGTCCATCATGTCATCTGTGACGCTGGCAGGTGATCGGGTCAAATTGTCCATCAACGAGTTGAACGGCAAGAGCAAGAGCGAATCTTTTGAACTCCGGCCAAGCATATCCATGTCGTGAAGCAGGTTGCAGGTTGGATGGTCTGTTTTTTTTTTTGCAAGTTGTCGCTGTTGACCGGAAAAGGAGTTCGGAAGTGGCGGTGGAGCATGCCCAGCTCAGAAACACGCATGCGACCCCATGCGCAATGATGAAAGTCATCGTCGCCAACGTCCTCCCTCGCCGGGGAGGACATTGAGGGTGTAAACCTTTTCTAGCGGATGCAGAGCACTGGCCTAGTAGTTCGGCAGCTCTATGAAGCCTGTGTAATCCCCTTAAGCAACCCTATGAAGGGGCCTCTTTAAAGTGGGCTACAGGGTACCATAGCCCATCATGGTTCTTGTTGTCACAAGAAGCTTCACTGTCTGCTCTGGCTCGCCCTTGCTTTGCCTGCTTGGGATATAGCCTAACCCTGCTGGCATGGTTTGCATCTGCACTTCCTAGCATCTGTGAACAACACAAGCCTTGCCAATGTCGAGATGTGATCTTGGGAGGAGTATACGCGGCCGGAGCCGAAGCTACCCGCAGCGGACGTTGATGATGCCATGGTTCTCGTCGCCAGCAAGTAGCATCGGCCGTAGCTCGGGCCATGAATGCCGCCTCAAGTTGGGCTGCAAAAGTTTTGCCTATCTCTTTAATTAAGGCGTGCCTTGCAGGGGAGCGCCTTTCCTCCTGCCTGGGGCTTGATCGTCCTACTGCAAGCCAAGACAAGACATACCCAGACATACCCAGACTGCCTTGAGCATGTTTTACCGCTCTCCTGCAAGATGCTGGGTCGCCGTAGTTGTTCAATGTCGATTGTTGGATCTGCCCGAAGGGTGGCCCAACGACCTGGTCTGAGCTGACGCCCATTTCGGAGCTCGCTCAGCCCAGGAGTGCAGGGTCTCAGGGCACACCTGTTCGAAGGTGATGTGTATGCTTGTAGCATGCCATCGTCAAAATTTCTTGTGCTTGGCATGTTTCTTGGGATAGTTTACGCAGTATTCACCAAAAAGCAGCAGGAGCGTAGGCGAACGTAAGGCCTAAACCCTCACAAGCCTTAAGCATCAACTCGAAGTGGTGCCCAAGAGTGCATGAGACAGGCCAGGGCAGGGGCCCGTCCCTCGGAGCTGAAGAGGCCTTGCAAGGAAAGATGGCTTTCAGAAGCCTTGGTCTCTTTTCCCGCAATCCAATTCGCAACACGGCCTGGTCCTGTGCTGGAATTCTGCTACAAGATGTTGAAAGCGAAAGGCAGGAGGAAACAGTCATGGAGTCATACACAGCGTGATTTGCTTCGGGACGTGCAGGCGATGCGATGGTGCATGTGCTGGGAATGGGAGATGCGGGTGTTTGGATGGGTGGATCTGCGGGCAAAGGAACATGTCTTCTTTCCACTGCTGGGCAACCTGGGTTCGTCGCGTGGATTCAGGAGTGCTGGGCCGTTCAGGCCGGCACATTCGGCTTTGTTAGACTTGTTAGATGGTCTTTAGTTATGGGAAGGTGACCTGGCTGACCCCCCAAAAACCCGCTGCACCCCAAAACCCCCTCTGCTCCCGCCTCCCCTTCGATTGCCAACGCACCGTGAAACCGAGGCCCAGGCGTGCAGGCCGGCCATGGCCTCACCAAGGTCGGTCGGGGGAGCTCGGACTTTCGGGGAGAGTGCTTCCGGGGGCTGGGATGCTGCTGCCCTTTCGGGTCTCGGTGGTAGTTGCTTGCAGGCGAGCGCGAGAGAGACAGAGAGCGAGAGAGCGAGAGTGGGAGCGGGACCGGGGCGCGCTGTCGCGCGGGGGGTTTTCCCCTCAAGCCCCAAAGAAAGAAAGAAAAGAGCGAGAGTGAGAGGGAGCCCTTGGCGACGCTTGCAGTGGCACGTTTGTGATTCCGTGTTGAGGGTTGAAAGTTTAGAGTTTAGGCCGTTTTTTGTCAAGGCACGGCAACCAGACAAACCAGACAAAAACGGACCTCCCCTTTCATGTCAGCCGCATCCTGAACCCAAATTCCCCCAGCTTCGCTAAGCTTGCCCAGTGCCGGCGGCCCCTCACCGGACGCTCCGCAGTCGCCGGGGAAGGGCAGGATGCTGAGGGTGGAGTTCAAGGCGGGGCTCAGGGAAATGGTGAGGTAAGGCTGGGGGTCTCGTGGATTCTCTTTCACATGCGTAGTAGACGCCTGGTCATGCATTCTGTGCATTCTGCGCAGGGCCAGCCCTACGACTGGTTCAGCCTTGATGACATGGGCTCCCTCATCCAGTCTGAGGAGTTTGCCAGCACCTTGAAGGAGGTCCTGAGCGCCATACTGACCTTGCTCTAACCTTGCTCTAGCCTTGCTTTACCTTGCTTTCCCTTGTTTTACCTTGCTTTTGCCATCGGTTTTTCTTTGCGCTGGCAAAGCGCTTGAAAAGGGCTCTTGGCTCGAAAGTGCATAAAATTGACGCCGCCCACGAAGTCCCTGGAACAAGCAGAGATGCTTCGGGGTTGTTCTGCATTGTGGCACCCGTATGTACAAACAGACCCCAAGATGGGCTCGAACAACCGGAATGTGGCAGAACATCAACCACTACTTCAACGTGCCCTTCGAAGAGCAGGCTGTCTTTGACGATGCCGGAAGCTCAGAAAGCCCGGCGCATGTGTATATGTATAACATGCATGCCATGTGATGTTTCCGCGCGATTCCGTTTCTAGAGTCTTGTAGGGTGCCACATACGATGTCATGGCACACTGTGCTGTGTGGCTGACCCAAATTCATCACGTCTGCCCTTGCAGGAGGGCATCTTGGTTGCGCCTGTGGACTTCAAGCGGGCTCTTCAGCATCCGCGTCCCTACTTCAGGTGGGCTTCGGCAGACTGCTAGCATCACGAATACACAGCGCACATTTCAACAAGTGTGATGTTCTGCGTCATTCTGAGCCTAAGAGTTTAATGTTGTCGTACTGTCGTACTTCAACATATAAGGCATACTTCTGGCTTGGGCTGGGGAAACAGGCCGTGGCATTGTATAGGGCTGCTTTGGGATGTATCTTTCTTGGCTCACAAGTCTCAGTCTCAGTCTCTCTCTCTCTCTCTCTCTCTCTCTCTCTCCCTCTCCCCTCAGATGAGCTGAAAGCGTATGATCCGCCATGGTAGGGTCCTCGGGTTGACTGCATGGTTTTCACGACGGATTTTCTAGCCTGGCGTGAAGACTAGATGCATTGCTGCGGTTGCAAAGTTGCTTTCTCAAATTGAGAAGTTTGCACATGTGCACGCCTTGTTAATTGAGGATGCAGGTAGCAGGGTCTAAGCAGAAGCATCCAAGTCTTCCCATGCCCGCCAGGGTGTTCAACCTCCACCAGATGCCGCGAGAACTGCAGGCAATGCTTTAGGGCCGGTATCATGTTGCAGGAGTTGGGTCAGTGGATATGAAACTTTGGAAGCATCTGTCTGGTTGCCAGGGTTGGGGTGGTGCCGGTAACTAGACCCTGATCTCTGCCTCGTGCTTGTAACAAAGAACCAATTTCAGCAGGAGCAGGCCATCGAGAAGTTGGCGACAATCGCCGACGAGGCTTTGGTACAGGGTTTGAGGCTCTGGCTAAAATACTTAGGTTTCCCAGCTGCGGACCTTCGAATCTCATTTGAGGGGTTGACACTGCGCATCAATGTAGCGGGCCATCTGCATGTCAACTACAAGAAAGCTCAGACTCCTTCTGCAATCCACGCAAGCCAGCCCTAAGCCCTCTATACTGGCAACTCTGAGTCAAATGGATCTCTTTGTGGCGGGGCTCGGGTTTTTTCCAGAAGGTTTTTTTTCCCCGAGCTCGCTTAGTTGATGGCTCATATGAGGGTGCCCCGTACGGGATCTCTAAATGATGGGTCCCCTCCTGACGTCCTGGCGTAACGCTGCTTGCTACGTTTTAGAGTATCCCATAGTGGGATCAGAATTTGGAGAACTGATTTGAATGGACTTCCCAGGTGTTGCGGCTTCAGCAGTCGCTAGGAGCTGCCGCCGGCCGCTTAGGCCGCCAAAACCAAGCGGGAAGGGAGGGCCTGGGTTTAGGACTGCAAGGGCTTAGGGTTTGGGGTTTAGGATCGAGGGTTTGCATTGGTTGGTGCTTGAGGGGTTGGGCTTGGGGGCCCATGGGCTGGCTTCAGACGACGCTTCGGGGTTGAGCATCCCGGGATCTTGGGTTGCGACTGGGTTACAACTGTCGGCGACTGTGAGCCTGGCCGTGTGCGGGGGGTAGCTTCGCTGGGACACATTCTTGCCTGGAGTAGTTCTGGAGATAGAGGCAGGCCTTTGCTGGCCCGTGCAGGTATTAGAGAAATGTTAGGTCAGCCTTTGCACACTCTGTGTGTGTGTGTGTGCATTTAATGAGAACTGGAGTTCTGAGTGCTGTGTACTCAGAGGCCAAAAAAAACCTACGTACTTGTTCTCACCGTTTGTGACCACAAAAACTGCACCAAACGCCCGAATCCCAAAAGATTTGCACCATCGGCCAGACATCTCGAAGGTTCAGGGCATATGGTGTTTAGGGTTTAGAGTTTCAGAGTTAGGTTACGTAGCCTTCCGGCTTCACCGTTAACCGTAAAAGGGAGTGGATGGCGTAAGGTTATGGGGTGGTCATCGATGCCAGGAGCAGGGCAGCTGTCGCGTGGACCAGGCGCAGCAGTGGGATGCTTCATGCCCTTCCAGGATGGGCTATGAGGCCCTATACCCCACATAAACAAGCCTATCAAGACCCTTTGTTAAGGGTTGTAGGGTCTAATTGCCCATCCTGGTAAACCCTAGACTAGACTCCCTAATCTTCAGTGTTTCCGGCCGTTTCGGGAGTTTGGGGACCTTTGTAGGGTTGCAAGGTTGCGGATTTGGTTCAGGACCCGTACGTTTACAGCAAAATCTGCATTCAAACCCGATAGGTCAATGTCATCTCCTCACAACTCCGGCAAGGTCATCTCGTCCCCAACGCCTCTTTCTAATGCCCATGACCTCGATGCCTTCAACATCCCTTTCCAGGACTCTCTCGCAACACTTTAAACCCTAAATCAGGTTTTAGGGTTTAGGTTTTTTGACGTTTCTGGTGCTTGGGGTGCAGTAGTGCAGTATTGTTGTTCTCCTTGCTCGAGACCCCAAGCCCCTGGCCCTAAACCCAAAGCCCTTAACCCCCAAAGACGAAGCCCCTGAACCCCTAAACCCCTAAACCCCTAACGCCTTGAACACCTCCCCCCACCCCCCCCCCCCGCTAAACCCTAAACCCTAAACCCTAAAACCCAAGACCCTCCCCTGAACAAGGGAACTACCCCACCCCGGAGCCAGCGCCGGCGCAGCCCCGGAGGGCACAAGGCTGAAGTGCAGGGCTTTAGGCTTTAGGGCTTTAGGGTTGGGATGTTCCCCCTTATGCGAACAGTCCTTATAAGAGGGATGAAAGTCAGGTACAAGATGAAGCCCCCCGCCGGCTAATTGTAGGGCTTATGGGTTTTGGGGATGAGGGTTCTGTGTAGGATTAAGGAGTCTAGGTAGGACCTGAGGGCTGGCGGCTCGAGTGTTAACAAGCTTTAGGGGCTCTAAGGGGTTTTAGGGCTCCAAGGTCGTTAAGGGCTCCAAGGTCGTAGTGCTCAAGGGGATCTGGGTATGGAATTCCAGAGTTCAGGAATTTGGGCACTGCGCGTAGGATCTTCGGAGGTAGCCTAGCAGCCGAGGAAAGCGTTGCCATGACCCATGAGGTGTCAGGACATGGGGATTTGCAGGATTTGGAGTGCAGCCTAAACCCTGAGCCCCACCCCCCCCCCAAAGAGGCAAGTCAGGAGGGGCGCCTTCCTCTGAAGAATTCAGGTTTCATTCGTAAGCCCTTTCACCCTCACACACCCTGCGCAACAAAACCAGACGCTTCTCGAACCCTAAGCCCTTGAATCCGAATCCATGGAGCCTACCTACTACCCCCCCCCCCCCCCCAATTTGCCAAACTTTGACTTGCTGACGACAGTTGCATCGGCCCCGGAGCCCGACACCGACACAGGCTCTGAACATTTCCAGGGGGGTTGCGGTTTTTCGGAGTTCAGGGGCGACCCGGCGCGACCGAAGCCCTAAGCTGGAGGAAGTTGTAACTTTGAAGACGCTTACGGCGTATACGGATGTGTGCAGAACCTCGGCCCCAGCTACTGAACCATGATGCATAAACCCTAACCCCCATAGCCTATAGCCCCTTGAACCGCTAAATCTCCTTCAGACTGCAATTTTCTGAAGCTCTAGCTCAAGGCCTCTGTGATGCAGGACCTTGGGGCCCGCGCGGGATCTCTGACGCTTCAGGCGCAGCACCTTCGCTGGCTCCCACAGGCGAGCATGGTTCAGGGTGTAGGGCCGCTGCAGGTGTGGGAATTCCACTTGGCGTTTGCATTACCACGGCTTTTAGAACTTGAACATTGGAGCTTCTCGTGCAGGTAAACTCCTGCAGGCAGCACAGGTTCAGGGTTTTCAGTGATTCGGTGTTTCGGGTGAGGGATGCCTCTCGGGTTGGGCTGGGATCAGTCGATGTAGCCTGGCTGCTTCCTGGGTCTTTGGGATGTGCTTGGCCAGCTTGATGAGGTTGTTGACGGTAGTTTGGCAGTTGGGATGTGTGGAATCTGGGAGGCCTGCCGGTGTCGCCTTGGCCGGTTCGAAGCCAACCGCAGGCTCCACCCCCAGCCTGGAGCCCAGCTACCCAGGTGAAGGAGGAAAATGAGAGAAGCAAGCATGGCCCTCCTCGTCTGCAAACGCAGAACAAGGGAACTAGGAATTGCTAAACTAAGTACCGGCGTGTGGTTGAAGTGTCTTGAGCACCTCGCTTGCGATGTCGTCACTATCGTCACTGTCGCCACTCCTCCTTTTGCTGCGCCGTTGCTCTCGACCTGCGGAAAGGTCTCCGCATTGGGCCCGGGCTCATGCTTCCTGGCACAGCTTGCCACGTGCTGCGTGGCCGTGTGCGCTCGACTGAGGCTGAGACGCCGCCATCCTCGAACTGTCCGTATTGCGGGAAGCCGCCGATGCCCTAGCACTTGCCCTGGGCACCATGTTGAACCAGCTCAGAAGGCAACAGAGAAGCGTGCGTGACTGGTTGTGGGCAGGCCGTTAAGCGTGAGAGCGGCTGGCGAGGAGGGCATGAACAGGCTGACAGGAAAATTCTTCTTCTACTCAGGATGACCTGAGGTGGCCAGCATGAGGTGTGGTGTGGGATGCTTCAGTCCTTCTTGCGTCGAATGCGGTGGCTGCTCAGCCAGCTGTGTGCCCGCCTGGGACAATCCTCCTACCTGAAGAACTGAAGAGGAGTCTGAAAAAAAGGCGACTACGGCTACGCAGTTGCCGAGAATGAACGATCCAAAATGAGAAATAATGCCGAGGACAGTGGATATCAAGGACGACGTTGCGGCTACAAGTCCTTCGCAGTGTGCGATGGACACACAGATCTAGAGAATCAAGCTGTTTTTTTGGCCAGGGAGATTCTCCCACGAATTCTTGGACGCTGTGCCGTCAAGGCAGATCGTCTGAGGCCTTGCGGAGAGCAAGATGCCCTTCCTGCTGGCACCTTCAGGAACATTAGGCTTCGCTTAAGGAGCAGATTGCTATGATCACGGAGAGGCCGGAGGATGCCGCTTCCTGCAAGATGCGGAACAAAGGGAGGTCATGATTGTGCTCACAATTGCTCACATTCCCTGCGACTCTGCCGAAGGGAATCGAAGGGTCAGCAGCGCGCTACGGTTTTTGGGACGTCGCGATAGCTTCTGCGAGAGAAGGTTGCCTGCGTCGGCTAGGGGGACAGCAAAGGTCGCGCGAGAAGTCACGCAAGAACCTTTCGCATCAATGTCATAGCCACACGTTCCAAGCAGGCTTTTCACCACAGTAAAACTTGGCACGTGTATAGACATGCGCGCGAATCTGGGAAGCCCAGGTACGAGCCGGAGGGCGCGTTGTTCTGCGGCAAGTGCGGCAAGTTGCGTCCCAGCACGCCCGCTGAGCTGCGCACGCTGCCAGCCTCTCTCCCCGAATGGCCAGGCAGGCAGAAGTATCCTACAGGTAGGCTCCTGCCTAGATGTCTTGGGCCAGCAATTGGAGGCCGTGCCCTAAATTTTAAACCCTACAAGACCAAAATGCCCATCGTCGACCCTCGGGTCGCCTTGGTGCGTTCATCTGCGTCCATCAGCTGCAGCGGGATTTGTTTTTGGCTAACGGAATTCTGGCTGCTTACAGCGGATGGGTTGCAATTGGTTTGGAGCGAAAGCGCAAAGAATCCCCACCTTTTTTCGCCTAAATACTAGCCGTGAGTCGTGAGCCGATGTCTAGGAAGCTTGGCAGGCGCAGCTGGCGCTGCACCACTCAGCACCTCACTGGCCGATCGCCTGACAGGCCAGGAGCCCAGGAGCTCCATGAAGAAGCAGAGAAGCAGGGGCTTTTTGCCACCTAGTTGCCACCTAGTTGGACTTGAGCTGAGTCTGGAGAAGGGCCGAGAACCTGTCAATGGCCCAAATGAAATGGCCCAAGGATCGCGCTATTGTTGGGTTATTGGGCCCAGACAAAATATGATGCAACAATCCCTTGACCGTGAAGCAGGAGTCGGCACGCGTGGGGACAACCGGCACAGCTACTGCGCGCGTCCCTAGACACAAGTTATGAAGCTTGCGCACTCGAGGTGCTGCCTACCCTTCTGCGCCGTGCTCTGGAGGACTCGGTGGCACAGCGCACACAGTGCCGCACGCCTTTAAAAAGAATGGGCAGATTGGACCGAAGCCGCAAACAGGAGCCTGCCAAGTCGCGTCGGCTCCAGCCATACCGGCCACCACCCGAGCAAGTGACCGTATGTGACAGTCAAGGCTTTGATCACGGAGGTCGAAAACCGACCCATCGCAGCCTCGTGGCTTGAGTGGCGTTTCACACGTCCCACGGCGCGTCTGCCTATGGAGTCACGCAGGGCATGGATGGTGGAGTGTCAGGGTTTCTCCGCAGAAGTTGCACTTGTAATCTGAAGTCATGGCACCAAGCGGCAACCACAAGGTCTTACTAGTATCAATCTTACCTAGCTTTAGTCCTGCCAATTGCTATTGGCAGAACCTTCCCGGATCCGGGGAAGTTTAGATGAGTTCAGGGTTGAAAAGGCTTCGGGGCCGCCATGGGAAACGACACTGGATTGGGGCTCGGCTTCGCGCTGGTGGCCGCAATCGCCTTCGGCATCCAGTATGTTCCGGCCACATAGTTGCGATTCAAGACTATTATAAAAGGAGCTTGTGACCTACAAGCCTATATACAGGATGCAGTCGACACATGTCGAGAGACGCAGAGAGCACACAGAGCCCAGGTCAAGAAGTATGAGATCTTCGACCTCTGCACTGCAGTCAGCATAAGGATAAGGAGGCGTATGTTCTCTCTCTCTGTCTCTTGGGCGGGCTATGGTGTGCCCCAGAAAGTTGAAAGATGTTGAAACAGGGTTGAGATCGGAGACCCCTCCTCAACCATATGCTGCCCGTTTTGAGGAAGGGACGGCCTTCCAGTGGTTCATGTGCAATGGCATCCTCATGGTTGGTTTCATCATCGCGCTTTCCCACGGCGAGCTGGACAGGGTTTTGGGTTTAGGGACTTTAGGGTCTTATACTGCTTCATAGGGTTTATGGACGTAGGGGCCCGGGTGGCTGCCTTTCGAATCCCTGTGTGGCATCTTCAGTCCAGGGTCGAGGGCAGCTTTCAGCCCCCGAAAGAGTGTTGGGAAAGATAGGGTGTTGACAGGAGAACACTGCATCGCAACGATACGGGGCGCTTGTTGAAAGCCACCAGCACCAGTGATGAACCCCAGCATTTCGTGCCTCTTAGTGGAGACTTGGGGAACTAGGTAACTACCCCCTATCGCCCCCTAACGCTCCATTCTTTAATTCTGCATGAGGAACCGGCAAGCCAAGGGCTTCCTCTGACTCAGGCATGAGTCAACCTTGCACCCTTCCTCTGGGCCCTCATCTGACAGGGAGATCCCAAAACCAAAGCCCCAAACCCGGAAGCCACCCCTGAAACCCCCCCTCAAACCTTCAACCCTCAGCCCCCAACCCAAAACCTCGGAGGGTTTAGGGTTTAGGGTTTAGGGTTTAGGGTTTAGGGTTTAGGGTCGGGGATTCAGGAGCGCGGCCTACCACCGCAAGTCGTTTTCGGCGGCGTTGGGGCCTAAGGTTCTGCGAAGTCTTGGTGCAACTGATCACGGAGCTTGGATCCCAAGCTTCGGCTTTAGGGTTTAAGGGCTTTAAGGGTTTTAAGGGTTTTAAGGGTTTTAAGGGTTTTAAGGGTTTTAAGGGTTTTAAGGGTTTTAAGGGTTTTAAGGGTTTTAAGGGGTTTAAGGGTTTAAGGGTTTTAAGGGTTTAAGGGTTTAAGGGTTTAAGGGTTTTAAGGGGTTTAAGGGGTTTTAAGGGCTTAAGGGTTTAAGGGCTTAAGGGCTTAAGGGTTTAGTTAAGGGTTGAAGGGTTTAAGAGTTTAAGTTAAAGGGTTGAAGGGCTTTTTAGGGTTTCAGGGTTTAAGAGTTGAACCAGAGCTCTTAACCAGGTCTTGTGGGCGCTGTCCAACTACTTTGTCCTACCTCTGGTGAAGCTGCTTGGGATCGGCCTCGGCTTTTCCCTGTACCACTTCGTGTCCTTCGGCTCGGATTAAGGGTTAAGGGTGAAGGGTGGAGGGTGGAGGGTTAAGGGTTGAGGGTTAAGGGTTAATGAAGGGTTAAGGGTTTAAGGTTTAGGGTTTAGGGTTGAGGGTTGTCTTACTAGGGGTTTGGGGATTTCCCGGTTGTTTAGGGTCTGTAGGGTTCAAGCTTTTAGGATATTTCAGGGCAACTGCTGGGCGCATTTCTACCACATTTTTTTGTCATGTTACAGGGTACATGTGTGAAAGATACTGGTGGCCAGCCGCTCGGGCACACCGATCGCAACTCAAGAGGCCTCACTTGAAAAAAAGTGCCTGCTGGCGTTTTGTGTACCAGGAACCTGATGGTGGGATACTGCATTGGCCGTTTCGGTCTGTTCGGCGTGACTCCGCTGACCGGTAAGCTGGCTTACTGCAGCCCGGCTGAGAGTAGCCACCAAACACGTGTCCGTTATTCTGTACCGTGCCTTGCCACACGAGAGCCGAGCGAAAGGTCTATAGGCAAACCGCCGCAGGTGATTTCGGTTGCCTCTTGATCTTGCTGTCCTTCTTCATCATGGTGTTCGTGGAGGCCTTGAGGGCTGAGGGCTCAAACCCAAGGTAGCTGCGAGGAGAGCGCGGTGACTGTAAAGGCAGGCCACGATGAGGAAGGCTTCGAGGAGGACTCCGATGACAGCGAGGAGGCGAGTTACGACAGCAACTCGAAGGAAACTTCGTACCAGTTGTTTTCGCGTTTCGGGGTTCGTGGCTCAGTGGGCGCCAGACTTCGTCAGCCTTTGGTGCCTCGTATTTTCGGATATCCGAGGCAAAGCCTCGTCAGCTGACAAGTTGATGGGCCGTGCTCCCAGCTTTTCTTCTCAGCGAAGCCGATTTTTGTGAACCTTGAGGTCTTAAGGTATGCAAGGGCTTCCCACAACCAAAGTACCGAGGTGAAGGGATGACGGAAGCGGAGTGTGACCAGAACTTCATGTCCGTGGGCGGCTTCTCGGTCTACGGGGTCTCCTCGCTTCAATAGAAGAGACGCATTACCCCATATTGCCCTATATTACCCCCCATATTACCCTATATTACCCTATATTACCCTATATTACCCTAGGCCCTAGGCTTGCCCTTCAGAGAACATCTTGGGGCGCTCTTTTATTCCCTGGAATTCCCTTGACTGTGACCAGTACAATGGTGCTGTGGCGATTCAACCCAGGATCCCTCCAACAGCCATATGGCTGCGAAAAAGGCCCCGTGCGTGCATGCCAGTTACATGTGTTTCGAGCATTCAATGTGTCACAGACTGCGTCGAGCCGTCTCGCTATTGTTTGTTCTAAGAGTCAGGCTGGGGGCTCAAAACAAGCCCTTTCTCACTTTGGGGCAGCCAAGCTGTGCAGGTGGCTCCAAACGTGCGGAAATCCTCCTTGGACACGCTGGGACCAGGAGCCCACTTTAGTTACTTTCGTTGGCGTTTAGGGTTTTGGGGTTGTCTGGGGTTTTGGAGCTTCGGCTTTTGGAGTTCATATAGGAGCGTCTCCAAGGTTGTCAAGGGGTCTGGGACGAGGGCCTTAAGCGTTTCTGTGGAAAACTCGAAACGTGACTGCCCAGAGCAGGAGCGCGGAAAGTCGCCGGCTTCATTCTGGCTGTGGTGGCTGGAGGCCTATGTGGAGTGCAGGGTGTCCCTGCGACACTCTACGAGCTCTGGCGGCAGAGTGTACTGCACCTTCATTATGCCTGTAGCACAGGTTCCTGTACTTACACAGCTGCGTCTAAATACCCTTGAAGATTTGATCCGGGTCGGGCGCGACTTGCTTGGCTTTAGGAGAAGGAGCATCCCGACGTGCACGCGTTTGCCGTTGCCTTGCAGCTTGCCTGCGAAAGGTGTAGCAGTATATAATCTAGTAGTATAGTAGTGCGTGTGCAGTATCATGCCTGATGGGTCTTGCCCGCACAGCGAGCACTGTTCCCACGCACATTTCTGGACAAGTCTTTGTAAGCCTTGATCCTCATCCCAGATCCCAACCCCTGGATCATTAAAAACCCAAAGAGTAATCGTCCGAAGCGTCCACGACATCTTGCATAAGCCCTTAAAATCTACATACCCCCCAAATTCCAAAAGCCTTTGGAACCCCGAATCGAGCTGACCCCCCGCAGCCCAGGCCGCAGTGCTTTGGAATATGGGCTTGCTCCAGCGCCTGGGAAAGCAGAGGGTTGTTGTGTGTAGGGTTGGGCTTTACTTGGTTTAACGTGAAGGGCTGAGGGTTTCTGGGGCTTGGGTCTTAAAGTTTAGGGTTCAGGGTTATGTTCAGAGGGAAAAGGTAAAGATTGGCACCCCGCATGCAGAGCTCCTTGTTCCAGATGTTGAGCGCCTGCCGGGCAGGCACTGTGCAAAACCACTTCCCACCTTCCCCCCCCCCCCTCACCCCCGCTCACCCCCCCCACCGCCGCCCCCACCCCAACCCACCCCTCCCCCCTCACACCCCATCTCTTGCACATGCTCTGGTCGGAGATGCTAAAGTTTGCTGCTGCAACAATTCTATTCCGAGGCGTGCTGCTGATCTTGTACTCCAGCGTCGCCTTGGTGCGCGGCGTGGCTCTGCCTCAAATGTGGATTCCATGTATCTAAGAAGTAAGTGCGTAAGTGCGTACGTGCGTGCGTGCGTGCGTGCGTGGGTGGGTGTGTGTGTGTGTGTCTGTCTGTCTGTCTGTCTGTCTGTCTGTCTGTCTGTCTGTCTGTCTGTCTGTGTCTGTCTCTGTCTGTCTCTGTCTGTCTCTGTCTGTCTCTGTCTGTCTCTGTCTGTCTCTGTCTGTCTCTGTCTGTCTCTGTCTGTCTCTGTCTGTCTCTGTCTGTCTCTGTCTGTCTCTGTCTGTCTCTGTCTGTCTCTGTCTGTCTCTGTCTGTCTCTGTCTGTCTCTGTCTGTCTCTGTCTGTCTCTGTCTGTCTCTCTGTCTGTCTCTGTCTGTCTCTGTCTGTCTCTGTCTGTCTCTGTCTGTCTCTGTCTGTCTCTGTCTGTCTCTGTCTGTCTCTGTCTGTCTCTGTCTGTCTCTGTCTGTCTCTGTCTGTCTCTGTCTGTCTCTCTGTCTGTCTGTCTGTCTGTCTGTCTGTCTGTCTGTCTCTCTCTGTCTGTCTGTCTGTCTCTCTCTGTCTCTGTTTGTCTGCATGTCTCGGTGTCTGTGTCTCTGTGTCTCTGTCTCTGTGTCTCTGTCTCTGTGTGTCTCTCTGCGTCTCTGTGTGTCTGTGTCTCTTCGTCTCTTTGTCTCCGTGTCTACGTGTCTGTGTGTCTCTGCGTGTCTCCGTGTGTCTGCGTGTCTGTGTGTGTGTGTGTGTGTGTCCCCGTGTGTCTGTGTCTCTGTGTGTCTGTGTCCATGTGTGTCTGTCTGGGTCCCTGTTGCTTGTACTGCAAGTCAGAGTTGATTGTTGCTCCCGAATCCTCAAGTTGATGCGTGCATAGCAACTCTACATTGATTCTTGCTCCCTAAACCCTCAAGTTGATGCTTGTTGCTTAGCGCTGATTCTTGCTCACGAAACCCTTAAAGTTGATTCTTGCTCCCAAAATAGTCACTACACTACCGTCTGAGCCATGGCAAAACAACCACCAGTGATTCACGTGCATTTCTGGAATGCTGGCCGGCAATGCAAGCATGAGGGTCGAGTGGCTGCGGCTTCGCCTGTGAAGCTCTCATCGGGGGGGCTGCGGCTCAGACCTGCGAACTCCCATAATCGCCAACCACAAGACATGTGTCCTTGCACGAGACTTTCAAAGATGTCAGAAATGTCAGTTGACAAGCGCTCGGAGCCGATGCATAAGAACTTGACCGTCACTGCCTGCGTGGCTCCTGTGTGTGTGTGTGGCCACCTTGATATAGGATACCTGTAATTCTGAAGCATCAAAGATTTGTTTCACGGGCAGGGGGGCACGGCATCACCGTGCCTAACAAAGCTGCCGAATCCGATGGGAAGCAAGGGCTAATCACCCTTCTGTACCTGCTCGAAAGACATTCTGATGTACCATCTTCTAGATTCTAGAGCAATGTTGATGATAAGACAGGATTTGTGCCGTTGATGCGACAGAATCTGTCGAAGCCTATCCCTTCAGGAGAAGGTGAGTTTTCTAAAAGTGTGTGTGTGTGTCTGTATCAGACTGACTCTCAGGTTAAGCTGCAAAAGTCGGTTATCGGCCCCGCGTATGCCAGCGGCTGCATATGGGGCGTCGGATTTGCGTGCATGATGAGTGGTACCGCACTTACACGTGTCACCTTCTATGAATGCTGCGTCATCGCTCCGACATGAGTGCGTCCTGCCGTACCTTGGACTGAAGCCTCTGCGAAGGCATCAAGTATTTGGGCTACTCGGTGGGATACACACTCGATGCTGTTGGCCCTATTTTGGTGTCAAGCTTGCTGTCTGTGCTCGTGCCCGGGCCTCAGTGGTGCAGTGATTCAGGGTTTCAACAAGGATCGCTGCATCTGATATTCCCGAGGTTTCGTGAGATCACTGGCAGGAGGCCGCTTATGATCTACTTTGGCGCCTTCTTGCTCCAGCTTGCAGAGAGCTCAGACATGTCACGAGACCTCAAGAATTAGACACTTCTCATTGCAGACGACGCCTGCCATGTGTGAGGTGGGCGTGGTACTGATCGCAACGTTCGGTCAGCCTGAAGAGTAAGCAGCAGGGATCAGCAGGGCAGCCAAGGCAGCCCATCGGCATGCGCCTTTTGAATGAAGTGCATGAAGTGCTTCTCCTCCCTCAGATTTCGCAGAGACCAAGTTTCTTTATACACCTGCAAGCTGCAGCTTTCACTGTAAAGGCTTGTGTCCGGGCACTCCCGGCACGTCCCAGCCTAGAGACCATAGACTTCAAGCATTGAGCCCTGGCCCAGGGCCACGTTTCGGAAGCAGAAAATGATTTTGAGCTTGCTGGTGCGGTTTCAGTTCAGTGCGTATTGTCGCAGTAGTCGCCTTTGTGGCTCATGCATGTGCTTTGGCACGGTTTTTGAGTGGCGGCTCGTATAGACACTTGAAACAATGAGGGGCAGAGAATGGGGTTCTATGAGCTGTGCTGCATCACCAACGGTTCACCTTCGCTGCAGATGCTTCGCCAAGTCTGAAATTATGCTACGCCTAAAGGTTCATGGCATGGCAAGGGGGCGAGCGCAGTTGTAGGATTGTCCCCCCAACAAGTCTCCCACAAGCTAAACCTGTATCACTCTGACCATCTAAAGCCCATTTCGATGCCGCACTTCAAACCTGGACCAAGGCGGCAGCCACGCCAATCACAAGTTTGTCTGGACTGCTGTGAGCCCACCCTACATGGAGCCGACGCGGGTCTGCGATTCAAAGAAATTTCGGTTTCTGAAGTCGCAGCTCTCTGTTGCAGTTCTGAGGCATGTCCCGCAGCCAGATCGCACAAAATGGCACTGGACACACACTTAAGACATGAGCATTCGCGTCGTCACAAACAGTGCCACATGTCAGCGAAGTCAGCGTGTGAGCAGCTGGTGCATACAAAGCTAACTGACTAGCACTTCGAAACTCGTGGCCGATGCCACGATGCCACCGATTCTTCGCAGAGCCTTCCGCTCTGCGCAGAGACGGCTGTTGTCCTTCTTCGATGGCACAAATGCACAGGCGAGATTTCGACAGAGACGCGTTTTTTGCAGACTTCTTTTTCAAAGTGCGCAACATGATGACAACTCAAGCGGGGGGGGGGGGGGGGGGGCAGGGTTTGTTGGCAGGCAGACGAGAACAACCCCGAGCCGTTGCTGGATGTCGTGCAGCAGTACCCTACAGAGGTCATTGCTGCAGTAAGCAGATTCCACAAATTTTGTTTTGCAGGACCGGCAATAAACTCATCCGACAAATCCCAATGCATGCTGAGAGCTAAGGCGGCATGGTTCATCAAGGTGCGGATGTGTTTTCCAAAGCCGGCTTGGCTGGGCTTTTTTGCAGTACTGAGACTGCGGGCAGGGATTCGGTGAACTTCAAAGGTCGGATCAGGGGGTTCGGATCATCCTCAAAGGGAATTCAGAGCCACGCCGAGCTGTGGAGTTTAGGTGGGTCCAAGCTAGGCTTCGGCTCAGCTCAGGGTTCGTCCGCTGCATGACATCCTGCTGACTCCGAGCCGACAAGAGCTTGCGACTCCACCCCGTCCCAATTGCCAACATGAGCTCCGCGCGTTTCGAAGCTCCCCTGGGTTTTACTTAAGAAACTTAGGGTTTAGGGTTTTCTGTGGTTCATGGGTCACGGATGAATATAGGGGTCGCAATAAGTACGGACAGTATTCCCTAAGTACTACACTATAGTAGCCCCGTTGCCTAAGTATTCTAGATATATGTTTTCTATATATGCCCCCTTATTTGTATTCGGGAGTTGAGCTTGAGATTACAGGACCCGAAGTACTTCAAGCACTAAACCCCCCGGGCAACACTAAACCCTAAAGCACCAAGCCCGCTTTGGGGCGACTTCTTGGTCAGGTGGTGATGTTTTATGGCAGCGTGTCGAGCCTGGCCGGGTTCTTGGAGCTCAGGCAGTTTCGGGTCAGTTTCTGGGCCATTATTATTTCTGTAATGTATATGTATGTGTATATATATTATATGTATATATGAATAGTTTCATTCTTTGTACATTTTCTTACGACTATTACACATGTTTATTGCGCTGTTAGACTATATTGCATTATATGATTCTATGATCATGTTTGTTGAGGCCGCCCATGTTTACTTCGTGCCGCCGACGGTTTCTGGCATCCTTTATCTTAACCATGTCGGTACATGGATGACCTCCCCCCCCTTTCACCCACCACCCAAAACTAAACGCTTGTTTTTGCGCGACACATGACAAGGGGTGGAAGAGGGTTGCAGGAAAACTCACTGCAAACCACATCCGGGCCAAGCCCGCAGTGCAACACCGCTGAGGTCACGGTCTTTCCGTGCTGCATCTTCCTCGTTGCTTATTGGAGCCCTTGCAGGCCCAAATGGGATCTCAAACTTTAGGAGCAGGGGCTAAGAAAAGATCATGGCTTGAAGCCTCAATCTCTGAGCTGACAGTGCTTCCCAAGGTCCTCATGCAGTAAAGCATCGCCTGGTCCGCCTACAGGGCAACACCCATTCTGATAGGCTACCGGGAGCAAACAAGGGGCTGCCAGTTGACAGTCCAGAAATACCCACAGGCACCATAAACCCTGGATATGAATGAATCCTCTATGCCCGATAAGCCCCAGAGTATTTCAATCTTTCATCCGGAGCCCAAGAAACCCGAAGCCCTCGCGGAGCTGCGGAGAGCCGAACAGGCTTTGCAACCGACCGCTGCGATGTTGGCCAGGTCCTCAGAACTGGGCGCCCTTGTGAGCGGTTTGGTGGTTTTGGGGCCCTAAACCCTAAACCCTAAACCCTAAACTTAAACCCTAAACCCTAAACCCTAAACCCTAAACCCTAAACCCTAAACCCTAAACCCTAAACCCTAAACCCTAAACCCTAAACCCTAAACCCTAAACAGGCTTTAGGGTTTAACTTGAAGGTTCATGGGCAGTGATGAGGCCTCCATAGAGGCAGCCCAGGATCCCAGTTTAGGGTTTTGGGGGTTTAGGGTCTGGTTAGGGTGTATTGTTTTGGGGCTTGGGGTGTAAAAGCTGGCCTTGAAGGCCCGTTCTTGGGTCTTTGTTTTGAGCTGCTCCTGTAAGTTTAGGGTGCCCAAATACAAAACTTACTGGTTCTTAGTAGGGAATGAGAAAGTTAGGTACCATATATCCTCCTATTTATACCCTTTAAGGCATCATATAGGGTACCTAATTCCCTTAGCGCCAGCTAAGAACCAGTAAACAAAGGGCCCACAAATCCTGAAGCAACCCCGGTCACTGTGTGTGAGACTCTGAGACTATTCCAAACTTTACGTCAGAGGTTTATAGGGGTTTAGGGGTTATAGGGGATTGGGGTTTAGGACCCCGAGCCACACCGAGGCTTGCAGTGCATTGTATCCTTCAGCTGCTGCAAGCCCCAGTGCGCATGATCTTCTTCTTCAGAGTACGCGAGGCTTTGCAGAGTTATGGGGTTTAAGGGTGGTGTTTGGTTTTTTGGGTTTTCCGGAGGGCGCAATGTCATGTTAACAAAACCTTACCTTTGCCAGTTAATTGCGAGCTCTTCGTGCACTCTTGAAAAGTGCGTGTAGCTTCTGTCGAGGCTGATGGTTGTGGTTGGCAGGGGGAAGGACTGGGCTTCTCTTGTGTTTTGAGAGAAAAACAGTGGGCTTCATTCACTTGGCGAAGCCAAGGAAATTCAGCGTCTGAACGGAGACCTCCAGGACCGAGAGCATGGCTCCACGCAAGTGGATGACTCGGGCTCACTTGAGATCAGCATGTAGAAACCAGGGTTCAGAGTTCAAGGTGCAGGGTTTTATGGGGTTTGGAGGCTAGAATCCCTAGAAAATCCCTAAATTCGAGTAGCCTGTGACAGGAGTGTGTCCGGCAGCTTACACAAGCCCCTGCGTGGAGATCTAGCAAGGCACCAGTGAACTCCTGGGTTCAGGGATTTGGGGTCTGAGGTTGAAGGGTTTCGGTTTAGGGGGGTTAGGGTTGGAGGTGCAAGGGTGTAGGGCTTCTTGGTTTATGTGGGATATGAGGTTCGATAGGGTGCACTTGAACCTGTGCGGCTTGCTATATGTAAAGCAGCTTGTGCTACATTAAGGTGCATATAATCTCCAGGCATAGCTACCCATGAGCCTTCCAGAGGGTTCAGACCTGCGGTCTCCTAGGCCCTTCCTGGAAGAAGCCTTGCGAACAGCTTGGGATCGTTTCCGATCCCCGCACCAGCCAGGCAGTCTCAATAACGAGCTATGCCTGGTTCGTGCTGGGGGCTGCTCAGCTGCCATGGACGATGAGTTCCTGCAACCAGTAGGGTGCTGCTTTTGGAAGGTTTGTTACGTCCTATTCAGGTTCACGCTCTCAAGTTCTTATCAGGCCCAGGTCCCTAGACCTTATCATTAGAACCTATCAATTCTGGATGCCTAACTTTGGTAGGGCCCCGCGTTCTCGGAACCTCTTCAACTTTGTTTGTCCGTTTTTGGGGATCTAGGTTCCCTTATAAAGTAACCCGAACAGTCCCCAAAAAGGATCCCCTCATCATAACATGGTTACTGTGCGACCATGACTTCAGCTCGAGCTTCTGTGTCTGTGCCTCTGGGCCCATCTGCAGCCGTCCGAGGGCCCTTCGGGGCCTTCTGAGGCTTATCGGGGGCTTTCCGTCTGGACTTAGGGCCGCTCCCCCGAAACTCGTACCCCTAGACTTGAAGGTTTAGGGTCCGGCCCCGCGTGACATGCGGGAAAATGAGGGAGGCCTCAGAACGTCAGAAGTCAAGTATCCCAAGGGCAGGTTTGAAGCTTCATATCCCCTCAACCCTAGTTCAAAGCCCTGAAGCCTCAACCCCAAGGTGGTCTGGCTGCTGAACTCCAGCTACTGTGAACCATGCCCCGGGCTCTACAGGCAGCTAGTGGGCCAAGAGCCTTTTTTTGTGTCCAAAGCTTGAAGCAGGCTTTAGGAAGTTCGGGGCTTTGTGGTGATTAGGGCTTCTAGGGGTTGAGTCGTCTAAGCCTTGGCTTTAAAGGCCTGTTGATCTGAGAGGGCCTACAGGGATTGCAGGATTCGTAGAGTTCAGTGCTTCAGCATTGAAGAGTCTAGGTTTTTTGAGCTTTCGGAACTCCTTGCGTTACGCCCCAGCCAAACCAAAGTCTGTGGCCGAGAAGCTGAGAACTCTTGCGCTCGCAATGTCCTGCAAGCGACAGTGGGCACATCCGCGAAGCAGAGCAGAACGAGAGTAGGCAGATCAGATGCAGCCCTTATCACCTAAACACTGAACAACACATACGCGACATTCAATGAAGAGAGCCCATAGCCCATAGCCAAGCATGCCAGAGGTCATGTTGAGAGGCTTCCCCGGATTCTGCATGACAGGTTGTCCCTCATGGTGGTCGTCTTCTCTTTCTTGAAGCTGCTGATGACTCTTGCAGCTTGCGTGTGCTTATATTTGCAGTGGCCCAGTCCCACAAGCATGGCCGAGCTGTAGATTTCGCGAGATCGCCGCCAACCCATGTAGGCAGGTAGATGCTGCTGTCGGTCCCGCTGTCAATATGGATGTTATTTTGTCGTGAAGAGATGGTTCTGCCACTGCGCCAAGAGCAGCCTGAGGTAGTCTTCAATCGATGCTTTCCCATGCGAGGGGAGGTGCCAGCTCCAACCTTCTGTCATTCCGATTCCTGCTTGCGTCGTGTCCTGCTTGTGACTTCAAAGCCCCCGGACGCAGATCTTGAACCCACAAGTCTACGTCTTCACGCCCTCGGAGCCTCATAACACTTAAGAGCTTTCTTGCACCCTTGACATTTGCATGTCAGGCATCGGTGCAGCACAAGCCTCGGGGGGCTCCGCAGGCGCCGGTTCGGAGATACAGTTTTTGGCTCCTCGTTTTTGCGGTTGACGTTGGGGGGTAGGGAATGAGGTTGCTTTGACAGGAAGAGGTATGGCAGCATATGGCAGCGCAGCTAAAAGAGGTTTTGAGGACTGCGGTTCTGGGGTTTTCATACTTGTACTGCATGACTTGCCCGGGGTTACCCTAACCACACTCCACACCCTCTGCCGGCCTGCGCAGCCCACAGCAACAGGAACTCATCGACGCCCTCCCTGTCCACGAATTTGGTGCGGAGGTCAGCTCAGGGTCGCATTCTTCATGCTTCCCAAGACTTGCTCCCAAGTGACATGTCGTCTTTCAGGAGCTTGCCGGTCGGGGGCTGGACGACTATGCTCGGTTCTCGGAAGGGTTCCTCCTTGTTTTTATTCGGAAGCATGGTGGGATCGCAAGGTCCCAAATTCTGAGCACTCAAAGGCCTCTTGAGCCTAAAGGCAGGATCTCGTAGCCTTGGGCCTTGGGCACTTGAGCCCTGGCAACGAAGTCAATTCAAGCCTTGAGGACGGTGCTGCAATGGAGGGTCCTCTCTCCTCCTAGACGCAGCAAGAAACAAGCTACCGGAATAGGTGATTAGAGCACCCTTCTGCAAACTAGCCCCATTCCCAGGCAGAGCCGGCCGACATCCACCGCCGCCACCAGGCGGGCGAGCGGCGGCCGGACAGTAGCTGCGCGGTTTGCCTTTGCGACTTCGAGCGCCCCTTTGCTGGCCACAGTGTTAGGCATGATCATGTAATCCCGAGCACCAAGAAACCTAAAGGACGAGTTTGTTTGGGGTTTAAAGGACTGAGGGCCGAGCCCTGCCGCTGGAATGTTAAGTGTTTCTTCGCCCAGAAACCCGAAACTCTAAACCCTGCAGCGGGAGCAGGGTCACCGCGCAATCAAAGGCAAGGATGGCCGGGAGCCAATAGGACAAGCAAGAGGGTTGAACATAGGGCCTGGGTTGCAATGCCACTAGTGGAACCGGAACCCCTCGGTGGCTGAGGAAAGGAGCTTTTGCGCCGACTCCCTTGCAACCATGTGTTTCACCAAAGCTGCATCGATCGATGGCTGCGACGGAACCAGGCAGGAAAACTGCATCGAAGAGTTATCCCTGCTTGGGTGGGTTCAGGTAGGCTTGAGTTTGCGACGGGTCCGCATCAAGTTCTTACCAGTTTCATGCATGAGCAGCTGAGCATGGCTGCGCGTGTTGACCGGCAGGTCTGCCCATTATGTCTCCGGGAGGTCAAGGCCGCAGGGCCTTCCTCGAAGCTCAGATCTGCCCCCTGAATCGCCTCTATCCCGCACGGCGAATCCATGAAGCCCGGAAGCCACAAAAGCCCTGAGACTGCACGGCCCAAAAGCAACCCCTCTTGAGGGCGATGGAAAGCTTGCAGCACAAATTCCATCTAGTCCGTTTCTTCATGCAGGCACCTTCCGAGAACTCCCTGGCACGCAGACTGCTGGGGGATCGCAAGCCAGAAGACAGGTGAGGCCTTGTGGTCTAGGAGTTTAGGATTTACGACTTAAGTTTAGCCCTGTGTGACCCTTCATCCACCTCAGCCTTAAATCCTTCAAGGACCTCCCAAGCACTCCCAATCAAATGTTCCGGTAGCTTCGAGTCCATGGCCCCGCCGCAAGATGGAAAGAGGAATTGGGGGGATGCAAGGACCTGAACCTTCAGTCGAGTAATTCAAGGGGTTGCGGTTTTAATGGATTTCATGGGCTCAGCCCTCCGTAGCTAGGAAGCTCGCAGAAGCTGCACCGCACCGGCATGCCAAAGGGCATGCCATGTCCAGCTGTGTCCCCAGGGGCTCGTGAACTGTGATGACCTTGCAAAGCTACCTCCGGTCGTGTAGAAAATGGTTCAGGCGGCAGAAAATCCGGGAGATCAGACCCTAAATGCTGAGAGGTTTGGAAGCTCTTGAGAAAGGACTGGCGCACGACTTTTCTTCAATGTCGTTACAGCACTTGCGACCAGCGAAGAGTCTCACAACAATTGCGTGGTGCGGCATTCCAGTTGCGGGCAGCGCATTCATAGGAGGATGTCAGCACAGCGTCGCAACTCTTGCTTTCGCAACTGGAACACATTCAAGTTTGGTTACAGGCAGCGTGATCAAAGGCAAAGCTGAGGGAGTTTTCGCAGAGCGCCAGACGGCTTTGGCCGTCCAGGTCGCTGTTGCGCTACATCGTCTTGCTACGCAAAGCTACCCCCCCGCAGGTCTCAGTCTGCGACCAACGGCAAGGCTGGGACATCCAGGGAGCAACCGCAACCTTGCATCCTCAGCGTGTTCCGAATTCTCTTCATGTGCTGGTCTCCTAAAGGCGCCAGCTCCAGCACCCCCGCGGCATGTGGATGTCGTCCTCAACAAGGACGCGCAGCTTGAAGGGCTTGCAGATAGTGGGGCCTCTCTTTGGGGTTTGGGGTTTGGACCTTTGTAACAACTTGGCTTCGGGGGCTTCAGGGTGATGCAAGGTAACATGGGTATCTGTCAAAAAGGTGGACCCCCCCCCCCGAATTCACGAAGTATTCTGATCCTTGCTTCTGAATTCCATGAAGAAGGGTGCCCCGAGAAAGGGAAAACCCCCCCAAATTTCTACCTGGACTTCTCACTTTTCCTTTTTGTGTGCTCTGTTCAACCTTCGGGCTGCTCTTCAGCCACACGACAATGCATTCTGCGCGCCCAAATCTCTGAATCCTAAACCGTTTCAAACCCTAATCCCATATAACCCCATGAAGCCCGAAAAAACCCTCTAAAACCCGAAAGACCCCTCAAGCACCCCTATAGAACCCTGCAAAACTGGAGCAGGAGTCCATGAAGCCGGCGGCGTCCTGCCAAGTCTGTGGCAACACGCAAACCTGGCGCGTCATTTTTTATCAGGGGTTTCCTTCAATCACAGGCCTTGATCGGAAAGTAAATTGGGTGTTGTTTAGAGTTTTGTTTAGCATTATACTTTACGTAGTTTACATAGGGGTATGTTGGGTTTATGTTGGGTTGTCTTGGGTTATAGGGTTGTAGGGATTCCTTTGAGCCTGTGAGATGTAAGCGCAAAAAACATGTCATCTGCTCGAGGCTGGGGTATGTCTGGCACCCGCTTACAGACAGACACACACACACACACAGAGTCCCTCACTCACTCACCCACTCTCACTCACACTCACACTCTCACTCGCACTCACACTCACAGTGACACTCACACGCACGCTCACAGAGGCCGTGCAAGTCGCACGGCTTTGTTGATCAGCATTAAGCTCCTGCGTGCCCAAGAGCGGGAAAGCCGTGTCATTTACATCCAGGCCCGAGTTCTTCGCCGCATTTTGCCGCACGTCCGTCCATCTCCACCCTTTCCCGAAGCAACCAGCAGAAGCGACGACATGAGATCCCTTCCCACATGTTCCCGGACCCATGATCATAGGTACATGCCAGACTCCGAGTCTCGGCCTTAGCCTTCTTGAGAGACAAGCCGGGGGCCAGGATCGTTTTGTATAATGTTCTCGAGAGCAGACTTGTGGTCTCCGGCAGAGACTGGGAGAGGCCGGAGCACAAGCACCCAGAGAATCGTAAACCTAATGGTTCTTATTGATCCTTGACCTTCCCAGCAATCCATCTGCCTGACTGTAGCCCCAGCGACCCAAGTTGCACGTTGCTCGCAGTCAGGTTTTGCCGGAGATGTGGCCGCAAGCGGGCCTGGCACCTAGAGCAGCGAGTCCGGGCAGCTGTGATACTTTGGGTCCCCGGTTCCATCAACACCCCCTTTTGCGGCAGGACCCCGATGTGGGTAAGGCATATGCACTTCTGTGAAATCCAATGTTTGCAGACCCAGGAGATGTCAGTGGTGATGGACAGGCTGGGGTCTTACGATGCTGCAAGGCTTGTATTGTGTAAAAGCCTTGCCTCCGAAATCCAAATCCCAAACTCTCGTCTCGAATTGCTGTGCTGCCGGGCGCTTCCTTGTCAGATGCAGCTGTTTCCACCTGGTTCGACAACCTGAACTGAAACCCGAAACCCAAAGTCTTGGCAACCCTCTACCCTAAAATGTCGGTTTCCCATAAAAGGGGTAGGTACCCTTTCAGAGGAGTTCCTGATTCTTTCTTGAAGGGTATGGGGGTACTGGGTACGCCTATTCTGGGAAACCCCTCCCCCGGCGTCCGTGAGGTTTGGCTTTGCGAATGTGCCTGGGGAGGATGGCCGGTGCGCTTGGCTTCGCTTTGAACGCTTTAGGTCTGGAACCACATCGTCCAGCGAAATAGATTGAAAGACCGACAGAACGACGGACAGATGGATGATATGCAGATAGACCCCTAAACCCTAAACCCTAAACCCTAAACCCTAAACCCTAAACCCTAAACCCTAAACCCTAAACCCTAAACCCTAAACCCTAAACCGGTAAGAAAACAGATAGCTACAACTGTAGGAAGACAGACAGTGTCCAGTCAGGGCAGACGGACGTGACGCGGCAGGTCTCTCCAGATCACGTGGATCGATCCGGACGGCCTCCTCGCAAGGCAAGGATGTCCCTTTAAACCTAAGAAAGCTCTACTTTTGGATGTTCCCTGGATGTTCCCCCTTATACTAACCAGTCCTTAATAGGGACTATAGTAAGATCCTCAATTGGGCTTGGGACTCAGCGTATCTCATGCAAAGCTTTGGAGCACTGGAGATACATGATGTCCTGCCACCAGGTTGCCAAGCAAATGGAGCCGAGTTACATCCGGTCAAAGAATAGAATAAGGACATAAGGAGCTCACGAACCCAGCTGCCGCCAGGTGGAATGCTCAGCATCCAGACCGGCAAGTCAACGAGGCAGCTATGCTGGCAAGGGCTTTGCTGTCTGATGACTCAGATCTCCACATCAGCACCCTGAAACCCAACTAGCCTGCCCCCTAAACGCTGCCACCTTGCCTCCTCAGATTTCGGGTGTGCAAAGTTGAGTCCCTCATCACAGGGCGACCACGTTGTTGCCGTGAACAACTTCGCTGAGGACGTGGAGGCCTAGGGCCTAGAGCACCGGTGATCCCTCTTGCTGAATGGAAAGAAGTGCTTCAGCCACGGGCCACGTGGGAGAGGTTCGACGTTTTTGTTGGGCATTGGGCGTTGTCTTACGCAGGCCCATTTGGGATGTTCCCCCTTATACTAACAGTCCTTCAAACTTAATAGGGATCCCTATTTAAGACTGTTAGGAAAAGGGGAACATCCCAAACTCGAGCTGAAGGTTCTGGATTTTCGAAGAAGCTCCTTGTCGCAGCAGCATTCGCAAAAAGCAGGCCATGCGGACCCAGCTGCAGCTGAAGCGCATCAGCATGTCGGTCAAGGCCGGTTGACACCAAAGGCTGCCTTTGCCCCCTGAACCGTCTCCACTCTCTCAACTCAGCAGTCCCCCAAGCTCCTGCTGCCGGCGATTTCGTGGACGCATTCAAAGTCAGAGGTCATCCGTAAACCCTAAACCCTAAACCCTAAACACTAAACCCTAAACCCCATCATTGATTGTCTCTAGCTTGCCTGTAAACGTGATTTGGCGACTCCGGGAGCCCCTGTGCGCTTTCCCCGAGCCGAGTTTTGGTGTTATCATCCCTAAGCCTCCTATGAGCGCCCTCCAGAGCCCCAAACCGTAGGCCATGACCTCTCAAACCCTACTATCTGCGTGGAGCCGTGGAGACATTCTGCACGTTGGGTCGCTTTAGTTGATATAGGTTGAACATTATAGCTGAAGTGCAGCTATGTGTAGGGCTTGGGGACACTGGCATGTGGCTGCGCATGGCTGCGCCAGCAGCAGGCATCCTCACCACTCCTTAGCATCAGCACCCCGACTCGCGATGGCTGTGAGCCTGCGCTTGTGTTTGTGTGCTCTTTAAGAGGCTTTAAGCCCTCTTAAGATTGAGGTGTGAAAGAACCGGTTTTCGAATACCATAGCTCTCCCAGAAAGGCTCGCGACATCTTGCGACATTTGTTTTTATTGTTAATATCCTGCTATCGGGTTTGTTAGTTCTTCGTTGGTACTCATTGGTTAATTTATCGAGTTCGCTAACGTCTTTCACTTTCGAGATTATACAATTAAAGCTTTTCTGTCATTCTGGTTCATGGAAATGCATGGAGACGCCAGAGCCAGATTAACACAACAAAGCGGTAGAACGGAGGTTTCGCAGCGTTTGCTTTAGATGTTGTGCTCTGGTTTAGTTCTTGAACAAAAAGCGATATTGCGCATGATGCATGAATGAACCTATAATACCATGTCTGTCTACATGGAACTCAGCTCTCGTTTGCTGGCTTGACAAAACCCATTGAAGCTAGAGGGACAGGGTGGACCTTTTGCCTAGGCAGTTGTCCTTCCATGTCTGCACTACATGACACGCAGATAGGTACCAGCAACACACTTCTATCTCAGCATACCTGGATTTGTTGTAAGCTTTCGAGGCCTGATCTGTTAGGAGTTTTGTGGCGCATGCTTGTGTCCGCAGCCGGGGGTGCATCTTTGGGATTGAGAGGAGAACCTTCCGATTCCTAGCACGTTGTGTTCTTGCTCACTTTGGTCGGGGTGTCTGAGCAGCCAAAGCTACAAGTGGCAACAGGGCTGACAGTGACTTCGGGGATCTGCATATACATAATGTATATATATATATATGTATGTATGCATGTACGTATGTATGTATGCCTTTATACAGGGGGATGTAGGGTGCCCAATATAATCCCTTAAAGGGCATATATAGGTGGATATAGGGTACCTCATCCCCCCAATGCCCTACAAACCAAGAGTAAGTGAGCCGAGCAGGTGGCTGAAGCAGCAGCGGAGCCCGAGAGGGCGACGATGGAGAATGCCACGCGCCTCGTGCTGCCGCAGGAGTGTGGCTTACGAAGGGTTCTGGGGTTGGTTTAGGGTTTAGGGTTTAGGATTCAGCGTTTAGGGTTTAGGGTTTGGGCTTAGGTTCATCGAAGAAGTCGTGTGGCCGCAGGAATCAAGGTAAGTTTCGATGACAGGTGCAGTCGACGTGCCTAAGATGACTTCTCAACTCGTCCACCCTTTATGCCTCAAACCCATGAAATGCCTCGGACGCTCGCCAGCAAGGAGTTGCTGCCGCGATGCTCACATTGTGGCAACATGTTGGATGCTCAGGAGTATGCCAACCCTAAACCTTAAACCGGTTCGCGCTGCACGGACCCCCCCACATGGGCAGGAAGCAGATTCAGGCAGCGTTGACAAGCACACGTTTCAGTTTGTGTGCCGTTATGCTGGGAATGAGGAGTCGAGTGGTTTGACTTGGTTAAGCATCTCGAGTGGACTCCAAAATGCCACTGGGGCTTTGATGTGCTCGGTGCTAAGCTCATCGCAAGTTGCCAGAAGTACTCCCAGTTGCATCTTCCGCCACGCCTCCTTTTAGATCTTGAGTGCCGGAGTGCTGGCACTCTGATGTTCTGGTTCCGCTGTGGACGTCGTATGCCTCTGTCGAATGACATCTGCACCGGCTGGATCTGTATTCTCGCTGTTACTCATCACCAGCCTTTCTGATTGCTTCGACTCGCCCTCTCTAAAGCACAAACTCGGATCATTTTGCACACTGTCCACTCGAAGCTTGTTGATGGCTTGTCGACCCAAGCTGGCCCCATCAGCTCTCCGATGGCGGAGCATCTTGCCCCGTCCCCAAGACGAATGAACCTCCCATAAGAAGAGTGCTTAAAGGCCCAGGGTGCACAGGGAATCACGATCTCCGTGAGGTACATGGCTGACTCGCAATTCTGTCGAAGATGTGGCCGCGCACGAGCTGACTCGACCGTGAGGTAAGCTTTGGACTACGGGCAAGGTTTCAAGGGCCTGGGTGCCCGGGTGCCTGCAGAGATCTACCTCAATTGCTTTTCACACGCATGGCTGAGCAATCTATCTACAACCACAAGTCCTGGAAGATGACTTAGTGCCTAAAGAGCAGGTCGCTGCAGTGCATAGAGACCGCTTTCTGCGCTGAGGAGAGGAGTAGACCGGGGGGCTGTGGCTCTGTTTGTCTCATCATATTCTTGAGATGATCTGAGATGCGAAATATCTCTCTCCTGAGGCTGTACTAGATGCTAATGTCTCTGACACCTCCCAACACCGGAGGAGGTCTTCTCAAGCCTGGAAAGAGCCAGGGTCTGTGAATGGGATGGGCTTAAATCTTGAAGGGGTCTCAAGGGTCGCACCGATGTCTAAGAGGCAATCCAAGAAGATAGGTAAGCACGGAAAGCTATGCTAAGCACTGCTATTTTTGTTTTTTTTGCTGGTCGGTTTAGGTGTAAGATGTACTTCATCTACGTGGTAGCTTTTCCATGGCAAATCTCATATTGCCTGTCAGTGCTTGCAACCTTCGCGTAGTTGCCCGACCTGTAGACTCGTGTACGCGGGAAGTCAGGACGTGATGCTACACGGTTGAAGACAAGGTCAGGGGTTCATGGGGTGTGACGGGTGAAGGTGTGTCCCTAAACAGCCTTGCAGCATGTCAACGTATTTGCATGATGCCGCAAAGTGCCGCAAAGCTATTGCTGTGGTTCGATTTGTCTCGGAGTGGTGCATCCAAAGTCCTCAAGCTGCTGTCGCAGTGCCACCTATCCAGGGCCTTAGTATGCCGTCGTGGCCCTGACCTCAGTCTGTCCTCGGGCCATGCAAATCTCAGATGACTCATGAGAACTCATTAAATTAGGGCACTGGCGCATCTCTCTGCAGGCCTGCCATTGAGATGTTCCGCTTGCTCGCTGGGCGCTTGCTTGCTGGGCGCTGTCTCCATCGACGAGTGGGCCCAGCGAAAGAGGTGGATGATCGCCACCATCCGGCATTTTCGGATTTGGCGGTCCCAGATCCCTGCCGGGTGGGAGCCTTACAGCCCAAGAGATTATGGTCACATATTGTGTGACCGACAAATTTGGTGGAGCACAGCATCAGTCCGAAAACGTCCTGCTTGTCAGACGAAACACCTCCCACCCAAGAGCTCTGTGCATCACATGTTTGCTTCCCTTGACCCTCGTAGTGCAAGACCACTGTAGCATCGTTTTCGACGCTTGCGCTGCCTCGGCAGCCGGGCCGGCCCATTCCACGGAACATGTCGGTGGTCCACGTGGTTCAACTCAGTGTTTCCAGTCGACCCCTGCAGCCCTGTATGCTTGCAGTGTCAGCAAGTTGTGCGAAAACCTTCGGTGCACTTGTTGAGCGCTTGTTGCGCTAATGCTTGGGCTTGTGGATTGGGGTGTTCGTGGGGCTGGTAGTGAAGTTCCGGGGACAGTGGCCCGGGAAAAAATAGGGTTGGTCAGGTTCTTGGGGTGAAAGAGAGACCACATGCTCCGGCCGAGGCGAATGATATATGGATAACCTGTAGATGATACAGTGCAGACCAAGCTATGAATCTAGTTTGGTAGTCAAGCACGCCACCCCAGGTCCGACCAGCTCATCGACCGCGCAAAAGCTGGAGGGACCGCCAGGTGGGCGAGAGGAACGGGTATCACATGGGAGCACCATGTGCAAAGCAACACGTGTGCTATGTAAGTAGTGAGCAGCAGCTCCGGCACTTGAATCTCAAGTCTAAGTCTTTTCCGGAGTTCCTTAAATGAGACACTCTGACAGATCGTAGTGAGTAGCATTGACTGTACCCACTTTGCTGGGGCTTGACAAGGCAGCCATGAACCTCTGGCTCGACCTGAATGGCTTCGGCCAGGACTCGGAAATCCTGAGTGTTTCCAGGCCTGTTTAGCTGCTTAAATCCGTTTTGCCATCCTGCTTGTAGGATGTGGCGGCGCCTCGTTCAGTAAAATCAGTCTGGCACAGCATCTCTCCCCGACATCGCGGGAACGACGCAGAGGAGCAACTGTTGAGTGCGAGAATGACACAGGCTGCAGACTGATGGCTCTACTAGTAAACTAGTACGGTGTTGAGCAGGCTGAGCAGTAATTAGGATAGAACAGTGCAAGATTCGCTTGACCCCAGGAGGTCATATACCCGATCCACCTGGCTGCAGCCAGTGGTGACCACCGCTTGCTGCGATGTCTGCTCCTGGCGGGTGCGGATGGGAACCAGATTCTTTTCAGAAGAGCGTGTGGTTCTTGTCCTGAGTTCTTTCCCACCAGCTTAAGTTGATGTTTGAAAACTCGGGTTCCTCAGCTCCCGGCTGTCGTGTACGGTACTGGTGGTGGTAACGCTGCAAGTTGTGCCAGTCCTCCTACTCGGTATACATATACATACGTACATCGCATGTGTACTCTCCGAGTATATGTTCTGCATTATACATGATACATTATATAGAACATATAGTAACTTATGTATGTACATATAATATCCCGTTCTCATACATTATAGACTGTAGATTCTATTTTATCTGTGATATATTATGTAGCATTATATGTTTTAAGACAGACACATATGTATATATATATATAGGTGTGTTATTATATATATATATATAGTAAGTTCTACATTGTATTTTGTATGTTTCTGATTAAGAATGAGGATGAACGAAATCGATCTGAGGAGAACCTCCAAAGGTCGCTTGGCAGTGGAGCTGGCAGAAGAGCTCAACACCTTTGGCTCGCATGACAGTGTGGCTGGGCTCTCGAGTTGGGTCTGGGCTGTAGGGTTTTTGGGGTTTAGCTGAATTTTTGGCTTTATGGGTTTAGGGGTGCAGTATGAGAGTTGTTCCGTTGGAGCTCAAAAGGCGTGCGGAAATCTGGGAAGGCCCGGACGTTGTTTGAGAAGCTGCGAAATGGCCCTCGGAAGGGTGTTGAAGCGACGGGAATCTACCTTTATCGGTAAGCCTAAGTTTTCCAGCAGCTTGCCCCTAGTCCAGCCACCACTTCTGCGACATGAGCGCGAAATCTACTGGGAGGTCATTACGCAGTTGCAGAGCCAGGCCAAGGTGAAGCGAGTGACGGTGCTTGGACTGGCAAATTTTTAAACTTCGGAACTTTCCCATTCGGTTCGAACCGGGGTGAACTTTAACGGAGTGCAGACTTGCATGTTTGCGAGGGGTTGCAAATTTCAAAAGTGGTCAGAAGAAGTGGTCGGCTTCTTATTGGGATGGTAGTCGTCGTCGTTTTATTACTGGTAGCTGCAGCGGCAGTACAATCAGTCGCCTGCAAGAAGAGACTCTATGAATCTGAGTTTGGGGTCTTCTATTGTGTTCTGAGGACATCCTGAGCGGGTCGTCTGCTGAGAAATAGGGTGTGAGCCTGGTGGCAGGCCAGTCAGCGCGAGACATTGCCCAGAATTTGTCTACTGTGCTTTTCCGGCCACAACCGAACCGCATCTGAGGCCATCTCGTACAGTTCTGCATTTTTGGATCCCAGCAACAGCGAGTCAGGCAAGTGCTGTGACCAGCTAACCCGCTAGTTTGGTCAGCGCAAGGCAAGGGCAGATCACAAGACCTCGCTGGCATGATTCGGGGGCAGGTTCAGGCATCGTGATAATGTGACTAGCGCGTAGGCTTCAGGTCAGAAGGCTAGCAGTACTCAGCCCTACCAGCCTGGCAAGCACACCTTCCGGCAGCCCAGCCAAAACACTTGCTCGGCCGTCGCTGACATGATACGACAGGATACGAAATATCCTAAGGAGATATCCTAAGGTTGGATTGAACTTTAGTGCTTCTGCATGTTGTCCTTGCCGCCGCGTTCACAAGAATCAGCAATTCTTGCCTTTTCCTGGCACGCTTGTGCGACGCTTGAGAGCACCCGTGTATGAGACACAGTGCTTTTTCCCTCGGCCTTCGATGTCTTGATCCACAGCTCAGTGCTGTTGGCCATCTCTATTCACAGCTCAGCGCTGTTGGCCAGATGATCCATCTGCAGCCAGTGACAAGGCTGTGCAGGCTTCTGCCGAGAGCACCCTTGCACTGTTTTCCAGCTGCTCACGCTCGGCCTGCTCAAGAGGAGCATGCCGAAACTATGCCAACTGACAAGGCTCCGAGAACATGTGTGTGTGGGCAACCCGATCACCCAAGGGAACACATAAAGTACGAGCAGGGGGTAGCAGCAGGGGCCAGAGTCTGCTGCCAACGACGGCACTCTGGTTTCTCCTGTGATGCATGGCCTGATGAACCATGTGAACCTGCTGTTTGTGCTCCTCGCATTGTAAGCTGCCCATGGTGTTGTATTCGCTGTGCAATTCCTAAGACAGAATCACGGTGCCTTCCTTGACGTAAACGTACCTTGGACTTATAGCAAGATGCCTTGGATCTACGTAAACGTGCCGTGGTCAACGCGCCTTGGACCTAAGCAGTACCCTTCACAAGAAGAGTGATGGATCTAAACCGCAAAGATCCTGCTACACTTATCCACAACTATTGAAGGTTCACTGGTCGTTTGATTTTCACGAGTTTTGATGAGTCTGTGAGAACAAATGACGAACAGTCCTCCACGACTGAAACCGATGTCAAGGTTGTGAGTCTTTGGACGCAACGGAGGCTTAAGGCTTTAGGCTTCAGATCTTGAAAGGGAGGGGGGGCAAGGTTGTTTTGTTGTTCATAGTCCGGGCCAGCTTGAATTCTGTTCATTGCGCACCATTACGAACTACTTTTCAGTATTGATTTCGGCCGCATTTCGCTGCAATGGCTAACCGCATCATTAATCGGAATCGAACGCTAGCTCATTGCGTCCACGGCTTCAATTCTGTTGAGGGATTTTTGAAACGGGGGTCGAAACAGGAAACACACCGCGTCCTTCAAGACAATTATCCTGCCTGGCCCAGAATCTTGAGGAGATCTGCCATGCAAATGGGTCATGTTGACTGCGTACATGTGGGGTTGGTTGTTCCCATCCAGTAGGGCATGTGTCACCTCTTCATGATGTGGGTGCTGGGAGGCTGTGTCTTTGTGGTTGGGGCTTCTCAGAGTGCACGTCTTGCGTCCATGGCCTTCACGTTGGTGGAGTCGAGCATTGGTGGCCTTCTGATTGGCAGCGCGTCTTCTTTGGCTTACATGGCCGATGGGAAAATCACGGGCATCAGCGGCATCCTAGGGCCGGCTTTGAGGAGCTTGGCTACTTGCAAGATTGGGGAGACCTTGTGGAAGTGGCTCTTTCTCCTGGGCCTCGTCCTCGGCGGTTGCGCCAACCAACTTCTGAACGCTGGCTTTGCATTCCCTGGTGCCATGTCTTTCTCTACGCTGCGCTACCTCCTTGGAGGCCTTTGCATCGGCGCGGGCACGCGACTGGGCCGTGGCTGCACATCAGGCCATGGCATTTGTGGACTGCCAAGGCTGAGTTTGAGGAGTTGGATTGCTGTGCCGTGCTTCATGATGGTGGCTGCCATTGTGGTAGCTGTATCCCGGCATGCTGTGGAAAGGCAGCCGAGGGGTGAAATCGCAACGCTGGCTTGGCCTCCGCGCTGGGAGTTCCCCGTGGGTGCCCTCATTGGCTCTGTGATTCTCATCCTGCTCACGCTCAGCGTGCCCCTCAGGATTCGCAATTACATCTCGCCTCTGGCCAGCGGCCTGATCTTTGGCCTGGGCCTAGGCTGCTCGGGGATGACCCGACAGGAAAAGGTCCTCAACTTCTTGGACGTGGCAGGTTGCTGGGACCCAAGCATGATGTTTGTGATGGGCTGCGGCCTCTGTGCCTCTGCACCGGCCTTTCTCTACGTGAAGGCCAAAGAGGACCGTAAGCCTTTATGTGGCGAGGACTGCAAGTTCGAGAAGCCCGCCAAGCGGGGAGACTACATTTCCCTGATCTTGGGCTCATCTGCTTTTGGCCTCGGTTGGGGCCTGATCGGTGTGTGTCCAGGGCCTGGTGTTGTTGGTGTCTTCCCCTATCTCTTCCAGGGAGGACCTGGCCTCGGCTTCGGATTGGCCTTCCTTGCACTTTGCTTCAGCTGGCTCTCTGCTGGCGGGCTTCTAGCGTGGAAGCAGCGGCGGTCCGAGTATTCAGCCGAAAGTACCGAATGAGTAGATGTGAGCAGGTTAGGCAGATTAGGCATCAGCGTTGTACAGCATGCCGTTGCAGGGCTTTCCACCTCCGACTGTCGATAAGCCCTCAGAATCAAATGGCTCTTCGATCTCAAGATGTTGGGCTTTCCAGCTGTGACTGTCGACAAGCCCGCAGCTTTAAAACGAGGGGTGCTGCACTGAACAGAACCGGGGAGTATCGCCCTATGTGGCATGGACCTTTATGTATTATTTGACGTTCTCTCTTGTTTTGTATTTAAAAACCTGTAAACAAACTAAATCCAAGAAACCTGAAGCACAAATTCACCAATTTCGTTCTCTTAGGGTTTAGGGTTTACGATTTATAATTTACTCTTTTTTGATGTGAACGTACAGACGCAGTCAGATGTTGGCAACGAATACTAGCTATCACTTCTGCTCTTGCGTGGGGGATGATCCAAGCGGTCTCTCGGGTCGGGCTGCGCACCGTTGTGCGCACATTGAAGTGTCCTGTCAGCTGTCGTGCCCAATTGTTGCTTGGTGTGGATCGGCAAAGATCACTGCTACTGAAAGAGGCATCTTCTCATGAAGATGCCCTAACTCTTTCAAGACATCTACATTATCATTCAACGCGTACAGACGTCGGTTCGACAACCTGTAAAACTTCGTACTCTTCTTCACAAACTGAAGTGGACGCGAGTACTGCAGTGCCCTGAACCGTCTCGTGCAGAAAACACCCCCGCAGAAAATCACTGCCTTTACCGCAAGCATTGGAATCATACAACCGCGCAATCCGCTACAGTCCACCTCCGCCACGGACGCACCCATGACCGCAGAAGCCACTGCCCCGCCGATAAGGAGCCGACCAAAAAAAAGCAACGACGGCACCCATTGCAAAAGACCTGCGAAAACGTCTCGCGTAATCAGTGACCATCATACAACAATCGGTGAACAATCTTAAGACACTATTTTTGCGGGCAACCAATAGCAACTGGTCGACCAAGCCGATGCCTGAAGACGGCACGGCTGCGGCGCCTCGGAGCTTGTCTTCCTGACTCGGGAAACTGCTGCGGCCGACGCCAAGTCTCGCCAGCTGTCGTGCACAATTGTTGCTTGGTGTGCGTCGGCAAAGATCACTGCTACTGAAAGAGGCTTCTTCTCATGAAGATGCCCTAACTCTTTCAAGACATCTACATTATCATTCAACGCGTACAGACGTCGGTTCGACAATCTGTCGAACTTCGTACTCTTCTTCACAAACTGAAGTGGACGCGAGTCCTGCAGTGCCCTGAACCGTCTCGTGCAGAAAACACTCCCGCAGAAAATCACCTTGAGACACATGCCTTTACCGCAAGCATTGGAATCATGCAGCCGCACAACCCGCTACAGTCCACCTCCGCCACGGACACTCCCATGACCGCAGAAGCCACTGCCCCGCCGAGAAGGAGCCAACAAAAAAAAGCAACGACAGCACCCATTGCAAAAGACCCGCGAAAACTTCTCGGATAATCAGTGACCATCATACAACAATCGGTGAACAATCTTAAGACACTAACTTTGCGGACAACAAATAGCAACTCGTTGACCAAGCCGATGCCTGAAAACGGCACGGCTCCAGCGCCTCGAAGCTTGTCTTCCTCACTGTGTGTTTTTGAGATTTAAAGGAGAACAAGAGAAGAGAAGGGAGAGAGAAAGGAGAGAGGAGAGATCAACAGGAATGCAACTCTAAATGGAAGAGCAATGAAAAGAATGGAAGAGAAATGAGGACCGGCGAAATGCAAAAATCAGGCAAAGAGAAGATGGTGCTCGTTTTCATCTTTCCTCTGGTTCTTATTTTTCTCTTCTCTTGTTCATTTCCGTTAGAAAAAACAAAAGGAATAACAATGAACATGTAAGCAAACCCAGCTGATGCTCATGATTTTTTCCTTTCTCCCTCTCTCTCTCTCTCCATATATGGGCGATGGAACGGGTGTCCTTGTTGGGCCGTTTCCTGCATCTTCAAGTGAGGAACCTAAGTGTTTTCTTTTGTTCGTTTGAAGACACAGAAAGCGATTAAAAGGGACGTCCATTTTGGATTGGCAGCCAACCCAGCTGATGCTCATGATTTTCTCTCTCTCTCTCTCTATATATATGGGCGATGGAATGGGTGTCCTTTTTGATCGTTTTCTGCATCTTCAAGCGAGGAAAAGGGACACCCCACAAGAAAGCACTTAGGGTGTCCCTTTTGCTCGTTTGAAGACACCGAAAGCGATTAAAAGGGACGCCCGTTTTGGATTGGCAGCCAACCCAGCTGATGCTCATGATTTCTCTCTCTCTCTCTCTCTCTCCTATATATGGGCGATGGAACAGGTGTCCTTTAAGATCGTGTTCTGCATCTTCAAGCGAAGAAAAGGGCACCACAAGAAAACACTTAGGGTGTCCCTTTTGCTCGTTTGAAGACACAGCAAGCGATTAAAAGGGGCGCCCATTTTGGATTGGCAGCAAACCCAGCTGATGCTCATGATTTATCTCTCTCCCCACACATGGGCGATGGAACGGGTGTCCTTTTTGGATCGTTTTCTGCATCTTCAAGCGAAGAAAAGTGACACCACAAGAAAACACTTAGTAAGGGTGCCCCTTTTGCTTGTTTCAAGACACAGAAAGCGATTAAAAGGGACGCCCATTTTGGATCGGCAGCAAACCCAGCTGATGCTCATGATTTATCTCTGTCTATATATGGGCGATGGAACGGGTGTCCTTCCTGATCGTTTTCTGCATCTTCAAGGGAGAAAGAAGGGCACCGCCCAAGAAGGAAACGTAACATCAGATATAGGGAGGGAAATTGAAGAGCTCCTCTCTTTACTTAGTCATTCCCTTTCCTCTCTTCTTATCTGTTGTTTTCTTCGCTTCAAAAAGCAAAATACGGGAAAAGAGATTTCCTGAAGAGGAGGGAGGGCACCTATTGAAGAGCTCCTGTCTTTACTTAGTCATTCCCTTTCCTCTCTTATCCGTTGTTTTATTCGCTTCAAAAAGCAAAATAAGCGAAAAGAGATTTCCTGAAGAGGAGGGAGGGCACCTATCTGTAAAGAGCAATCGTTTAGAGGGGAACAGGAGAAGAGGAGCGAGAGAGAAGGACAGAGGAGAGATACAGGGAATCCAATTTCAATAGAACAGCAAAGAAAAGAATAGAAGAGAGATGAAGAGAGAAGAGGGAGAGACAAAACAAGGCGCAGAGAAGATGGCGCTCTTCTTTATCTATCCTCCCTCCCTTATCTCTCCCTTCCTTTCTTTTCCAGATAAGAACAACTAAAGAGGAATAATTATGAAAAGGAGAAGAGTAAGGAAAGGAGCAGAAGAGATAGGCCGAGAAGAGGGATATGATGAAGTACGGCAAGGTCCACGCGCAACCTCTGCTTACCCTGCCACTGTTTTATCCTGCAAGTTCCTTTCTTGTTGTTCATCAGTCAAAAAGTAACAGAAAGAGAGAAGGGAAAGGGAAGTGAGAGAGGAGAGAGAACAAGGATGCCATTTTTCTGGAAGGGTGCTGGAAAGAAGAGAAGAGACAGGAAGCAAGGAGACGGAGTGACAAAATAAAGCGCAAAGCTCTATATATATCATCTCTCCCTTGTCTCTCCCTATTCCCTTTTGATGGGACGCCCCAGAACTAAAATATTTAAATCCAGGTATTTGAATAATTAAATTCTTTAAATTATTTAAATGGTTGGGTTTCCAGAGGAACCAATGGGTTTGAATAATTAGATTATTTAGATTATTTTGGCGCCTCCTGTGAGCCAAGTTTGTGATGAAGTATGTCCCTTCTCCCCGCGGGCCAAATTTGTGATGAAGTATGTCCCCTCTCCCCGTGGGCCAAATTTGTGATGAAGCATGTCCCCTCTCCCCGTAGGCCAGGTTTGTGATCCAGCCTCCCACCAGCGTGATGAAGTAGGTTCCCTCTCTTTGTGGCTGAAGTATGTCCCCTCGCCCCGTGGGCCATGTTTGTGATCCAGCCCCCCAGCAGCGTGATGAAGTATATCCCCTCTCCCTGTGGGCCAAGTCTGTGATGAAGTATGTCCCTTCTCCCCATGATGAAGTATATTTGGAAGCTGAGAGTCGTGTTTTGGTGTGGTAGATTGTGGTAGATAGAAAGGAAAGGGCATGAGAAAGTAGCGAGAGGAGCTCTTCAATTCCCTTCCTGCTTTATTGCAACACATGCCCCTCTTGTTCTTCCTTTCTTGTGTTTTTTGTCATTTAGAGGGGAACAGGAGAAGAGGAGCGAGAGAGAAGGAGAGGGGAGAGATAACAGGAATCCAATTTCAATGGAATAGCAAAGAAAAGAATAGAAGAGAGATGAATAGAGAAGAGGGAGAGACAAAACGAGGCGCTGAGAAGATGGCACTCTTCTTTATCTATCCTCCCTCCCTTATCTCTCCCTTCCCTCTTTCTTTTCGAAATAAGAACAACTAAAGAGGAAGAATTTATGAAAAGGAGAAGAGTAAGGAAAAGAGCAGAAGAGATAGGCCGAGAAGAGGGACATGATGAAGTACGGCAAGGTCCAAGCGCAAGGAGTCACCCTCTGCTTTACCTTCCACTGCTTTATCATACCTGTCTTGTGCTTTGTCAGTTAAACGGAAACAGAAGGAGAGAAGGGAAAGGGAAGTGAGAGAGGAGAGACAACAAGGAGGCCATTTTAATTTTCTGGAAGGGTACTGAACAGAAGAGAGGAGACAAGAAGCAAGGATACGGAGGAACACAACAAGGCGCAAAGAAGATGGCACTCTTCTTTGTCTATCATCTCTCCCTTCCTTGTTCCCTTTTCCCTCTATTCTTAAAAAGGACAAGGCCTCTTCGCAGATAGGTGCCCTCTCTCCTCTTCAGGAAGCCCCCTTGCCCTTATTTTGCTTGCTTTCTGAAACGACAAGGAAAACAACACATAGAAAGAGAGGAAATGGAATGAACCAATAGGCAGTGGAGCTCTTCAATTTCTTTCCCTATCTCTTTTCTTCTTTTTTCATTCTTCATTCAACAAGGAAAAGAAGCTTCCT